CGGGCAGGCCCGAGGTGGCAAGGCCTCCCGGGAGGATTGGCAGCTGCACTTGGAAATGAGCAAATGCAAGGACGGGCTTCGTTCCCAATACATTTCCAACTTCCCATCCAAGTCCGATTGTGCTGATGGCAGTCAAACCACATCGCGGCATCGATTCAAAGAACCTGCTGATGGAGTAGAAAGGAATCCATGGCAACCGGGTAACGACAAGGACAATTATCCGCGTCTCAGCAAGTCACGCCGGAATGTGCTGAGCTCAGGCGGCCGCGCGCCAACGAGGCGCTCTCGTCGCTGATACTGACAGTTGGACGAGACACGTGCTGCGATTTCACTGTTGCACCCGGACAAGGTGCTGTTGGCTCAACACCGCGTTTCCCGACACGGAGGCTGGGAACCGGCTCCTTCCTGATCGTCGCCTGATACGTGGTGTTAGATCCGGAGGGAAGCGCGTGGCCAACTCCCGCAAGCAAAGCCCCGGGGACCTGCTGCCTCGTTTAGTTGTTTTATTTCTCCACGGGCACGCGGGGGTGTCACAACCACAGGACTGAGCCCGGCCGGCGCGGCTCAGGGGTTGAGCATCAACCTATGAACCAGGAGGTCACAGTTCGATTCCTGGTCATGGTCGGGTTGTGGGCTTGATCCCCAGTGTGAGGCATGCAGGGGGTGGCAGGGGGAGACAGCCGATCCATGACTCACTCTCATCATTGATGTTTCTTTTTTCTTTTTTAAAAATATATTTTTATTGCTTTCAGAGAGAGGAAGGGAGAGGGAGGGCGGAGAGATAGAAACATCAACGATGAGAGAGAATCATGGATCGGCTGCCTCCTGCACGCCCCACACTGGGGATCGAGCCCGCAATCCGGGCCTGTGCCCTGACCGGGAATCAAACCCTGACCTCCTGGTTCACGCTGAGCCACGCCAGTTGGGCCTGATACGCTTAGTAACACTCTGTGTGCCCGTCCCACGATCGTAGACCCGAACAAAGTGAGGGGACCACACCCATCGGGATGATGTAGGCTGGAGTCTGCAATGAGGTAAAGCTGAGGCAGGGATGGTAGGGCCCCCCCATCGGTCACCTAGAGAAACGAAGGGGTTACCTGCCCGGTTATAAGAGAAGAGCCACACCGCCATGTGAAGTTTGGGTTACACATCGATTTTATTTCATAACTGCATTGTCGGGCACTTTATGGTAATGCGTAGTTCATCCAATATTCATATCTGCATATTTATTTTTAAAATTCCCCCAACAATCCTTTTCTACACAATGTTCTCTCAGTAGTAGTCAGCCTTTGAGATGATTCCTACTGCAGCCTCCAGGACGCAAGCACAGTGGAGCCCGTCTCCATGCCCCGTGTCTCCAGAGGGCTCAGGCCTTCTAAACAGCTACTGCATTAAAGCAAAAGAAACACGCAAGGGGCAAGTTCAACTCGGAACCCCTCGTGAGCCGCGTCTGCAGGAAAGCCGGGTGCACGGGAAGCTGGGGGGTCTCGCCCACGTCTTGCCCGCCTGCAGTGTCATCACCGAAACCACAGCAGATGCAAGAAAGCTCGTGTTTGGCATCCGATGGTGAAATGGGTCGCAAGTCAAGCGTGCAGAAGGGGGAGGGGTGTTCCCTGAAGGAGGCCGACGGAGGGGTGTGGTACCTGGAGGACGCACCCAGCCTCTTGGGTCCCATCCTCGACGTCACGGGACCAACCAGAGGCCGATTTGTTCGTGTCCCTCGTTGTCCCTTCTTGAGGGACATGAGCAGGCGACCCCACGGAGACCGGGAGTTCCCCGGACCGAGAGACTGAGGGGTGTCTCACATCAACGAGGTAACCTTTTGTGGTTCTGCAGCCTTTGAAGACAAACGATTGTGCGGCTCGCGATTCCTTCACTCCACGCACGGAGCGAACACGGCATCCGGCGGACGCCGCTGGCCAGTACCTCTGAGTTGGTACCTTCACTTTGCTTTGCTTGCTTTTGGGTAGATTTGCATTTGGGTTACAGAACTGGCACAGTGCTTTTCTGCTGGATTCAAGTATCGTAAAGGTAGAAACCTCGAGAAGCTGGGAGGTGCAACAGACTGTACATCACACACAAAGAAATGAACTTCATTCACAGGCGGTGCCCAGCTGCGGGCGTCGCCCGACAAATGCCCCTTCGATCGGCGCGGCGCGGGCTGGGCGTTTGTTCAATGGACACGTAGCATCCAGACGCTGCCCCGTGCCCGTGTCCTTTAAAAACACAGCATGGCCAACCCTCACCTAAGGCTGCGGATTCTTCTTGCATATTTATTGTTGCTGAAGCAGTTCGCGAGGATGCACAGTCCACAATTATTTTAAATAAACAAACACACTTCTCCTGCCAACCACAGCAACACTATACATTTTTTCCCCCCCTAAAAACATCACCGGGGGCATTACTACATACAGTTTTACACAAACACCGAACAACAACACCTTAAGGCGTCTGCTACCAAAGCAGGTTTGCATATGTATCTGAACGAAATGAAGCAAGAAATGATATTGCACAAAAATCCTATCGTTTTCAACGTGAAACGTCCTTCTTTCTAAACACACAGAATTCTCTAGAACAAATCAAGATGCCGGCCGGTTTGATCAAAACCATCCTCTCTCTCAAACAGGCTTGAAGACACAGACACTGACCAGAGGGCGGGCTCCGCGTAAGACAGACCCCACTACTGACCCCATTGGAAAGAACCCCTTGCTGTGTCATGAGGCGCTTTGGAGAAATTAGATTTGGGGACTCAGCTGACATTTTTTTTTCTTCACGTGACATTCTTAAACTTGTGTTCCCATGGACAAATCTCGGCCCAGAATCAAGGTGTCTTATGCTAAACAAAACGGCATTCGCATCCAAAAATGTATTCATGAGAGTAATTCCACCCCCACCCCCCCCCCCGAAAATCCAGATTTTTCTAGAAGAGAAGGAAGAGCTACTGATGTTGAGAATATTCACAGTTTTCTCCTCTGGCACAGGAGCCGAACTTTCTCACCCTGTTTAAGACACAACTGACTCATTCAAACCCTGGATCCTATGAGGGAGTTAGCGACAGAACTGTCACATACAGTCTTCATTCAAAAGCGAGGGGATTAGAGCCGGGCCGGCGTGGCTCGGTGGTTGAGCATCGACCTAGGAACCAGGAGGCCACGGTTCGATTCCCAGTCGGGGCACATGCCCGGGTTGCGGGCTCCATCCCCAGTGTGGGGCGTGCAGGAGGCAGCCGATCCATGATTCTCTCTCATCATTGACGTTTCTCTCTCTCTCTCCCTCTCCCTTCCTCTCTGAAATCAATAAAAATATATTTAAAAAAATAAAAATAAAAGTAGGTACCTCGGGTAGCAGCATTATTCTAGATTCTTCATATAATTACAGAGAAAGGTCATGAGCGTGGACGTGGCACTGTGGCTCTGACTTACAGCAAGTATCAGATGAAGCAGCTTTAAGAGGCTTTTTTGGTATTAGAATCTTGGGTTAATAACATCTAAGCAGAATTTATTATTATTATTATTATTATTATTATCATCATCATCATCACTATTATTGATATTTGCAATCCCTTTTAACGGGTCCCTTCGCAGCAGGGACAATGCCCACCGTTTTCTTTCCCTCCGTCCGCAGATACGGCTCCTTGCGTATGTCCGGGACGAAGAGTCCGTGACTGCTTTCTAAATGAGAGGGCTGTTCGCTTTTAATAGAACGACGATCATGCTATCATTGGGTGCTTTTCTAAAACATGCGAAAGGAGGGCACCATCCTGCTACCAACACTCCTAATGCTACTGCCTAACACTCTCCCTTAACAGAGCAAGAGCCCTGGGTTCACACGCTGCTCTTCCTCCCCTGCAATGCCACGGGGACCCCCGCTAAGGGCGAAGGATGCAGGCTGTGGGGGGGAGGAGGTAGGGGGATTTCGGGGAGAACCCGGGCTCTGTGGAGGGCCCGTCTCCCTCATCTACACAAGTCTCTTCGTCGGACAAACAGGTGTTAGGTCTTCAAACACATAAAATCCCAGCAGCAGGGGAACCTGCAAATAGCTGGCTTCGTGGGAACAGAAGAGAGGAGCCGAGTAGAAAAGGACACTTCTGTCCACGGCAGACCTCACGTGAATTTCACTTCCTTCCCCCCACGTCCACCGGGGCACTGGGGAGTCCAGCTGAAGAGCAGACGCTGAATACCCAACGGTTCCATGGGCTGAAACAGGAGTCCTCGCTGCTAGTCTTTCGGATGGTTTCCCGGCATAGCGCGGCGAGTGTTTGGTTTGGCTTTTGTTCCTAACGTGGACGCGAACGCTGACTCCGCGTGGTCAGTAAGGCACGGATCCAGCTGAAAAGACCTCGAGGGAAATGGTACCCGTGAGGGGCCGGGCAGCTCTCCCAGCCAAGGGGGGACCTAAGGAGACATGACAGCCACATGGGCCTAGGACCGAGAAAGGACAGCAGGGAAGACTCAGGGCGTCTGAAAGGGGCATGGACCATCAATACTGACTCACGAAGCCCGGCCGGTGTGGCTCAGGGGTTGAGCATCGATCTATGAACCAGAAGGTCACGGTTCGATTCCCGGTAGGGCACAGGCCCGGGTTGCAGGCTCGATCCCCGGTAGGGGGCGTGCAGGAGGCAGCCGATCCGTGATACTCTCTCCTCATCGATGTTTCTCTCTCTCTCTCCCTCTCCCTCTCTGTGAAATCAATAAAAAATATATTTAAAAATAAATACTGATTCATTGATTGTGATGAACGGACCATCCATACTGACCTGGGCTATTAGAACAGGGGAATTGTGGGTAGGGATGGACGGGAGCTCAGTACCTCCTTGACAATTTTCCTGGAAGTTTAAAATGTCTAACATGTAAAGTCAGTTACTTTAAAACCCAACTTGAAAATATAAGCAATTTAGAGAAGTATTACTTAAGGAAAGAAAAAGATCAGAACTTAAAAAGTCAGGACAGTGTGGGTGGCCTTTGGCTCTCTGAGGGGAGGGAGGAGGGAGGGGAGGGAGGAGGGGGGGGGAGGGAGGAGGGAGGAGGGCCTCCCCGAGAGGCTGGGGGGAGGCATGGAAAGTGTCTCGTGTGTAAACAGGAGGCATTCCCTTCACGCTGTCGTGCAAGAAGCTCCCTGTGTGAAAGGCATGGACCCGGAGACTTGTTTTTTGGAAGACGTGGCTGCAGCGTCCACAAGAGCTTTTCATTAAAAACAAAAAAAAAAAACACAAAAAAGAGAGATTTTTGTCCTGGACTCAATGACTAGAAAGGCATTATTGCTCCGCAGGCCACGTCTAACGTCTCTGGGAGGGTTGACAGGCGATTCCATGAGTGGCTACGTTTGCTTACTAGCGGCGGAAGATTAAGGCAATCGTGGGTCAAGAGTTTCAGCAGTTGGAGGGGAGTTCGGATACGTTTAGCTAACTGGATCGGTTCCTGGAGTAGCGCCGGTCACGTGCAAGGCTTCCGTACGCATCCTCCGTTTAAATAAAATGCAGGGCGGTAAGCACCAATCCTGGGAAGTCACGTGTCCAATGATAATCTCCACACACACACACACACACACACACACTAGTACCTGACTGAAGAGCACAGTAGAAGAAGTAGCTTTCACCCCAAAAGATCAATGGGTCGCACGGGCCCACCAGATCCGCGGGTGATGTCTCCCATGAAAACGAAAATGTCTAGACAACAGCGAGCGTTGCCATGCCTACAAGTAACTGTTTACTGCACAGTCCCGTGGGACCCTCCAGTGTCTCCCCAGACGCGTGGACGCCTGAGGCTGGCCCTCAGTTCTTGACAGAGGCCTGGTTTCCACTCGTGCTTCCCCCCGGAACGTTCCCATCGGGCTGGAAGGCGGGCACCGCGGGGCACAGCGAAGCGGCTTCGTGGAGCGGCCCAGGGTCTCCCGGAGCCCCCTGGACACCCTTCCCTTCCTTCTCCCATGGGACCGAGGAGGACGGCCGGCGCTCGAGGCTGGGGATCAGCAGATCGTCTGGGGCCTGGTTTAGTGTTTCCTCCTTGTCTGCTTTTCCTTCCTCAGTCCGGGCAGCGTCCGTTGGAGCCCGCGGGACACCCAGCTCAGAGGGGGAGGCCGGCTGGTCCGCCCCATGAGGGCCGCTCCCGGGGGCCCCGTCGAGGGGCCTGGCACTGTTCTCCTCCTTCAGGCTGAAGAGCGAGCCCGTGGCGCAGCTGGAGCTGGCCCGCTTCCTGGGGGACGGGGGCAGGTGTCGGCCGTGGAGGGCGCTGTCGTCCTGGCCCCGGTTCCAGTCGCCTTGGTCCCCGGACCCGCCACAGAGGGCCGCCAGGTTGTCCTCGCTTGGGGCGTTGGATTTATTCTGGAAGAGGAAACAGCCCATTCAGGAACGTCTTTGATACCTTATAGCATCGCTTGAGCGACTGCCCATGATTTTATTTAGTTCTTTTTTAATCCTCATCCAAGGATATTTTTAAAAAATATATATATTTCCATTGATTCCAGAGAGGAAGGGAGAGAAAGAGGAGAGAAACATCAGTGATGAGAGAGAATCATGGATCGATGCCTCCTGCATGCCCCACACTGGGGATCGAGCCTGCAACCCAGGCCTGTGCCCTGACCGGGAATCAAACCGTGACCTCCTGGTTCATAGGTCGATGCTCAACCACTGAGCCACGAAAGCTGGGCTAGCTCTAGTGTTTTTAAAGCATTCAGGTCAATTTGTTTAAAACTACAGCTCCGTTTTGAGGCAAGACGACAAAAATTTAGTCTATTTTAAGATCAAGGAACTTTAGAAAATATAGTGGGGACATTTCATGTTTTATAAAAGTCCCCCCAAAAAAGACAAGTATAGAATTAGGTTGTCAGGAAATACTACTACTTGGCCAAAGAATTTCAATTCCAGCCAACCAGAGTTGGCTGAATAAAAGGGAAAACACTCAATATGTTTTTACTAGAATTAATTCTTCACGATTCAACGTTAGAGTATTTTTGAAGTTGGGGCACGTGTCCATTAGAGGTCCGACACTTGTATGAGCTAAGAGGACAGCCTGGGGCCGTCGCAGCCACGGGAGGGGCGGGGCCTTGAGCTCCGTGGCCGGAGCACCACTCACCGCGGGCTGGTAGTCGATGTTGTCCATGGAGCGGAAGAAGTCCAGGCTCTTGGCGGCCGCCAGCTTGCCCGGGTCGGAGCTGTGGGTGCTCAGCGTGTCCAGGATCTCACCCAGCAGGTCCATCTCCCCCGAGTACAGCGTCTTCCCTCGCGTCTCCACCGAGTCATCGCTTTCGTAGGAATAAGCCCCAGCCTCCTCTCCATCCTCCGAGGACAGCCTGAGGGGAAACAAGACGCGCTCTGGGGGCCGGGTGACCACACGGGCTGCTGTGCCGCACCTCTTGCCCCCTCCCTTCCAGGGCCCGCTCAGGGGAACAGCGAGAAGACGGAGGCTGGTCCATGGCCAAGTTCACCCTGGGGAGGATGTCTAGCCCAGTCACATACAGGGAGTTCCGAGCAGCTGCATTAAGAACATGCAGCCGGGCCCGGCCCGTGTGGCTCAGTGGTTGAGCGTCCACTCAAGAACCAAGAGGTCAGAGCACAAGCCCGGGTTGTGCACTCGATCCCCAGTAGGGGGCGTGCAGGAGGCAGCCGATCGATGATGTTTCTCATCGACGTTTCTGTCTCTCCATCCCTCTCCCATCCTCTCTCTCTAAAAATCAACAAAAACATATTTTTTTTTAAAAAAAAAGAACGTACAGCCGGCAAGTCTACGGCACCTTCACCAGGAAGCAGAAAAGTCGGGATGTCACCCAGTCTGATTCTGTGGGACTTGGGACTTTGGCCTTCGAAATGGTAGATCGAGCACTTGCACCATGTGCTGGGGTCAAGTTCACGTTCGATATTTTTATATGGTTTATCCTTGTACTTATTTAGTCGCCTGTCTTAGGGAAGAATGCATATTCCCTTGTACAGACCAAGATTGAACAGCGAAAAGGCATGTTCATTGGTCACGCCCTTGTAGGTTAACATTGAGAAGTCAAACAGACACTATTATGATTATTATTTCCCTTATTTTATGGTAAAATTCCTCTTCACCACTGTGGGTTACACCGTAGACGTAAGTCTCTCCGATCCCCCGGCTCAGTCTGTTTCTAGGGACTTTCCCTGTTTCTGATGCTGAACCTGCCCCCTCCCGGGAGGGTGGGGGGGCAGGGTATAATGTGGGTGGCTTCCTACTTCCCGCCCCCCGACGTCCCCCACATCTGCAGCATCCTTGCTTCCCAAGAACCAGCCAGCCCAGGCCCACCCTGCTCTCCCGTCTCAATATTCACCCCCCACGAGACGGGTGAAGAGCATCACAAGGGGGTGACATCCGATGCCTGGGGGTGCGCACTCTCAAGTACCCTGTGTGACCTACGACCTCTGCCCAAGCCCCGCGGCTGGGAGGCCATCCAGCCCCATTACTGACTTGCTGGCCCGGTCCACGTCCTCGTCCTCGTCCTCACACGGCGCGCCGTCGTCGAGGCTCTTGAGGGGCCTGTGTAAGCGTGCCTGCGGGACGGACGGACAGACGGCGTTAGGAGGACAGCACGCCTCCTTCCCAGTCACGTGTCAAGGAACGATTTGATTTGCAAAGGAACGTTTTTTTTAAAAGATCAATTTCAGAGAGGAAGGGAGAGCGAGAGAGAGACAGAACCATCCATGATGAGAGAGAATTATAGATCGGCCGCCTCCTGCACGCCCCCCACTGGGGATGGAGCCCACACCCCGGGCAGGTGGCCTGATTGGGAATCGAACCGTGACCTCCTGGTTCCTAGGTCGACGCTCAACCCCTGAGCCACGCCAGCCGGGCGGTCAGAAACACTTTTAAAAGCAATACGTACTCAGGGCTTTCAACGTTACCCAATAACTTGGTGAGCTGGGCAGGAAGAGAGGAGAGAGTAAGGGGCCATTTATCTCAACACGTACTCCACCTCACACTCAAAACCAAGAACGAACGAGAGGACTGAACAGGTGTATACGTAGCCCACCCACCCGGTCGGTCGGTCGGTTGGTCGGTCGGTCCCTGTTTGTTCTGGGAATACTTGGCTTACAATTGATTCGGTCAACACTCAAGAGAGAGAAAAATGGCCGCTTATTCAACACAAGCATCCCAGGTGGTGTCTGCGTTACCGGTTCCGTTGGCCCGGGACTCGGGTGCAATGGTTTCTGGGAGGCAGCAGGCCCAAGTCACAGAACCACCCAACTTCCTGTCCTGACCACCGCCTGCTCCTCCTGCAGTTACCATTTCTGCCGCTAGATGGCAGGCGGACCCCAATCAGGCAAAGGGCTGAGTCCATTGCAATTCATAAGGGGGTTAGGGGGTGTTTGGGGGAGAGGGGGGATGAGGGATATAGGCAGAGGAATGGGCAAATAACGGTTTTTTAGACTTTATAAAATTAAGATGCTGTGACATGTGATGTGTTTGAAGGCAGCTCCTCTGTGCTACTGTCCGCATTTTAGAGTTGGGAGTGACTGAGGCTCTGACGTGTTACCTTGCCTACCCAGACTCCACAGCAAACCCCTGAGCTTATGCATTCTGGATGCTCGGACTTGCATGAAATAACGTGAGAATAAGCTTTAGAACTCTACGGAATTATAATGGCCACAACCCTAAAAAAACGCATGCGGTTCGGAATTGGAAAAGAGCTTTAAAAGCACGCCTGTCGTCATTTTTGTAGGTGGGACTATAGCAAGGTGCAGGAGACATCAGTCCAGTTCAGATGATGATAAGATTCTATTAGCCCAGCCGGCGTGGCGTGAGCGTCGACCTAGGAACCAGGAGGTCACGGTTCCATTCCCCGTCAGGGCACAGGCCCGGGTTGGGGGCTCCATCCCCAGTGTGGGGCGTGCCGGAGGCGGCCGATCAACGATTCTCTCTCATCGTTGATGTTTCTATATTTCTCTCCCTCTCCCTTCCTTTCTGACATCGATATTTAGAAAAATAAATAATAAATTAAAAATGTTTTAAAAAGACTACCCTGAAAGGTAAATTTTATCATGATGAATTTTGTCTTGCACAACCATCATCTTTCAAGGAAAGGAAGAATTATCTCATGCCCACTAGAGGGCAGCCTTGTAGCCCATTACTGGATGTTGGGGAGGGAGCTATGGAGCACAAGTTGGACTACAAGTATGTGACATGCTGGAGATTAATATTATTTCAACAATTAAAAAAACGGGAAAATAGCTTTCTTTAAAATTAACAATGTGGCACCAATACTGTTCAATATTGGCCTTAAAAGATCAAATTTAAAAATTAGCGACATTAGCATAAATGAGACTAAATATATGCTACGGAAAGAGTGATTTTGGGACAGAGATGCTAAAAGGTGTTTAGAAAATTCAGACAATTTTTCTTGGGCGTCTTTAAACGGGATCATACTCACATAAAACATTTCAAAAAATTTTTTATCATCTAGAACTTGCGAATAGATTTCCTGATCACCTTCACTCAACATTTCAGCTTGATCGTAATAACAGGACGCTCACTACCGAGTCCAATTAAACAAAGTGTTAAAAATTTAAATTAAAAAAACAACAACAGGTTTTTTTTACTTATCACGATTCGGTTAAGCATTTTTTTTCTTTTAACTTTGCAAAATGTATGTGAAGTATTCGTTCCAATGACCTGGGCCTCCTCCTTCCTACACAGAGGCCCCACCCCCAGGCCATGGCGATCTTTCTCCTGGTGACTGACAATCGCTTTTCCTTGGTCGGATGAGCGACTGGCCACTTCCAAACCAATGGCCGAGCCACTTCTTTCTCGGCCAATAAAGCAACGCTATGCAACGGGCCCTGCTTGCCACGTTCTGGAACCTACTGAGTCACCTGAGTGGGAAACGCAACCTATGATCACATTCACTTTATGCCCGCGGTTCGCTGAATTCCAATGAAGGAACGTGTGTCCTAAATACGAGACTGTCATCCACGGCCTACGAGGCGCGAGGGGGCCGCCATGTGGGAGCTCAATAATTGAGAGCATGCGCCTGTGTTTTCCTAGAAATTTCACAGGAAGTTACTGTCCTCCGTGTCGCGCATTAACATACGAGATTCATTATCTGTGCGACGTCAGCCACCTGCTTGCTTCTATTTTTAAAGACAGGCTTCCGTCCTGGGATTCTTTCTGGTCCCCCTTCAACCAAGAAGGGGGCTTTGAAATGCCCGGCTCGCAAGTGTTTCCTTGCCAAACAGGCACATGGGACCTCCACGCACCTTCCTTACAGGTGAAATGACGGCTCATCCGCTATCAGATGAGCGTGTGCCATATCCCGCCAATCGAGGAGCAGGTTGCATCCACCAATCAAGTCAGAAGGACCCAAAAAGGTAGCCAAGTTTCCTCTGAGGTGTGCATAACACCTCGCACGATGGGTAGAACAGGGAACATCCCCAAATGGTATCTGCTAGTGCACACACCTCCCTCTGTATACACTGGAGAGAAAGCTACTCGTATCTCAAACCACAAGCCTCTACGTAAAGACCCTTAAAAATAGAACAAATGCCCCGGCCAGCTTGGCTCAGTGGATAGAGGGTCACCCTGCGGACTGAAGGGTCCCAGGTTCGATTCCGGCCAAGGGCACATGCCTGGGTTATGGGCTCGATCCCCAGTAGGGGTTGTGCAGGAGGCAGCCGATCAATGATTCTCTCTCATCATTGATTTTCTATCTCTCTCTCTCTCTCCCTCTCCCTTCCTCTCTGAAATCAATAAATATATTTTCAAAAAATAGAATGACCACCCGTGGAACAGTACGTGGCGTTATTCGTAGAAACTACGGCTATTAAACACACGTCCGCTTGTACACACTGCGTGTGGGTGAGAGTCTTGACTGCATTCCAAGGGGGGGCGTTGTTCACCCACAGGGACACCCCCCTTTCTGTCATGGTTCAGGCGGAGAAATAGCCTTCCTCTACATGGTCTGTGCAGCTCCGGCACAATTAGCTGGACGGGTTGGAAAGAAACCGGGCGGACAGCTCTGGGGCCCAGCCGTGAAGGAGTTAAGAGCGACGCCTGCCAGGGTTTCCAAAGGCCTCACAACAAAGAGCCCAGCCCTGCCCTCGCAGGGGATGGGGGTGCGGTGTTTGGTTTGCTTGGGGCCATCCATCTGCTAATGTTGACGTGCAGCACAGCTAAGCTCCCGCCTACGGTGCACCCGTCCTGCTGCTGCTGTGTGTGTGAGAGAGAGAGAGAGAGAGAGAGGGAGGGAGATGCAGACACACACACACACACACACACACACACACACTATTACTGGACTAGGACAGGCTACTATGATTACAAATGCAGCCGTCTCTTAGATGCACACACATTCGATGTTTCCTTTCAAGGGATTTCTCATCCTTGGAAAATGCCCCTCGGTTTCTGCGGGGCAGCATGTAAGGCAGCATCCTAGAGGACAGACGTCGTCCAAACATCGCCCGCGAGGCCTACGGGTCTTGTTCTGCCGTCACATGGACGAGAGAAGGCCCGTGTGTGGCCGAGATCAAAGCTGCCATGACACGGGGGACCCCCTCCCCGGGGCCTCGTTAGCCTGAGGCCGCGGCTAACCCCGCACCGGAGGGGCCAGGCCTGGGCTGTACAGATGCAGCGCCTAATTGGGAGCTGTCCCCCGGACAGGCCGTGCAGCCTCATCAACGAAACGGGAACCAGCCAGGCTCATCGGCACCTCCCCACGCGGTTCCCGGGGGGTAGGGGATGCGCAATCGGTTCCGGCCACGAGCGGGTCACGCACGCGGGCTCGGAGCACACACAGTCCGGGGGTCGGTCCATTCTCGTCCACGGGACCCAGGTGGGGAAGCGTGCCTTTTTCGCCTCTAAGCACACTCTCGGAATGCCAACAATCACCACCATCTCCTTCACATCCTTTGCAGAACAGATGAAAATAAAATGTTTCAGCGACACGAGTCCGGCTGCAAACTGGGGGTGGAAGGCTCTTCCCGGAGCTGAGGCCCGGGGCGCAGGGGGACAGGCCAACGGAGTCCAGATCCTTTATTTCGATAATTTCACTGACAACAAAACACATCCTCAAGGTCTGCTAGGCCAAGATGTTTCTTGGTACAAGAGCTGTATATAGATATATATTTTTTTGGTCTCAATGTGTTTGTATTGACTTCAGAGAGGAAGGGAGAGGGAGAGAGAGATAGAAACATCCATGATGAGAGAGAGTCATGGACCAGCTGCCTCCTACACGCCCCACACTGGGGATCGAGCCCCAAACCTGGGCATGTGTCCTGACCGGGAATCGAACCCTGACCTCCTGGTTCATAGGCTGATGCTCAACCACGGAGCCACGCCGGCCGGGCACGAGCTGTATATGTCTTTTCAAATCATAACCTGGGGTCTTCAAGTCATTCCTACTTAAATGGAAACAGACACCGTTAGGGGCCCGTGGCGTTAGTGACTGGAGGGTGATTGTGTGACCCCGGGAAGTGGCTACGGGGAGGGAAGACAGCGAGCAGATGCGTGGCTACGCGCGGCCAGAAGCTAAGGACGCGCGTGTCTGTGTACACAGACGGCTGCCACCTCGCGCACACGCTCTCTCTGATGCCTGCGGCACCCTGGGGAATGACAGGGGTTGTCATCCCTGTCTCCCAGGCGCCCGAAGTGAGGCTTGGGGACGCTGTGTTCTGCTCAGTGCCAAAGGCTGGGACCTTCTTCAAAGTCAGGGGTGTCTGTCTCGGAACCCCACCCCCTGGTCCCTCAGGGCCCAGCCTGGCTCCTCCCAACATGAAGGCCAGGCAGCGGCTTCGGAACCCGGGTCCCAGAGTCAGTCTCTCCCCCGTTCCACCCCTGCTGCTCTGTGTACCACCTGCAGACCCGTGGGCAGCGGGACCCCTCCTTCCCTGGGAATTTGCTGATTCTAGATTCCGCCTTTCGCCACCTGCAACTGTCCCGAGAAATGCTCCCCTATCTCCCCGAAGATCTCAACGTGCCCAGACCCTGATGTTATTCCACTCGGGGAGACGGGGGTAAGAGAACCCCTTCACATAGAAACCCGTTCACATAGAAACCCGTTCCCCGCGGTAAAGACAACCCACAGGCTCCCAGATCGAGGCAGCCCACCTTCTGCGAAAGTTAACTTTCTAAGAGGCGAGAGCCTGAGACGGATAGGAATTGAACATCCTGGGAGCAAGACTGAGACGCCGATTACAAACCCATCAGTCATTTACAAGCGAGTACAGTGGGGCCTTGACTTACGAGTGTCCCGACTAACGAGTTTTTTGAGATACCAGCTGTCTCTCCGCCGATTTTTTTGCATTGAGTTGACAGAGTAATTTGAGTTAACGAGCTCCGTAACGAGCTCGGTCTCGGAACGAATTAAACTCGTAAGTCAAGGCCCCACTGTAAATGTTTCCCAGCTGATGGCAGTGGGTAGAACAGGTTGCCTCACTGGCGGAATCATCATCATCATCATTATTTAACATTGTTAACTAGTTATTTAAATATAGTTTATAATTTTTACGTTTTTTGTTGTTTTTTAGAGAGAGAGGAAGGAAGAAGCAAAGAGAGAAGAAACATGGATTGCTGCCTCCCGCACGCCCCCTCCCGGAGGCCCGCGGGCGGGCAGCCGTACCTGGGTGAGCCTGCGCTTCTCCCGGCTTGCCCCCTTGTCGTTGTGTACGGTGTAGACGGGGGTGTACTGCACAAAACCGGAGTAGGCCCCACACTCGTCCTCAGTCTCCTGCACGTGGAGAGAGACGAGAAGTGGTGTCAGAACGCTGCCTGGATGACTGATGGACGCTCTTGGGTTCCTCAACCAAGCATCCGTCCGACACAGACGTAAATAACAAAAGAACACCCGAACTGCACGCCGAAAGGCTCTATTTAGAAAAATAGGCCCCCCTGCATTGTTCTGTGTCATGAATGAACAATTCACGATTATTTCCAGAATAATCTCTATTTTGAGTAATTTGAGTCAAACGCATATGAGGATCATTCACCCTCCGTCGAGACCATGGAAGTTTTGAGTGGGATTATTGGTCTCCGAAGGCACAATTTCAAAACAGAATAACCGATAAAAAAAAAACTGCGGAGATGTAATATGTAATCAAATCAGACAGACGTACACACAGACGCATAAATATGCACATACATGCGATGTTCGCAGAGTCCAGTACACACCCTCACACACAAACCTTTGTCAATGAAGGACAAGCGTCGTGTAAAGCAGCTACTGCTGGAAAGAGCTCATAGATAGACCAGCGGTTCTCAACCTTCCTAATGCCGCGACCCTTTAATACATACAGTTCCTCATGTTGTGGTGACTCCCAACCATAAAATTATTTTCGTGGCTACTTCATAACTGTAATGTTGCTACTGTTACGAATCGTCATGCAAATATCTGATCTGCAGGATGTATTTTCATTGTTACAAATTGAACGTAATTAAAGCATAGTGATGAATCACAAAAACAATATGTAATGATATATTCAATATGTGTTTTCCGAATGGTCTTAGGCGACCCCTGTGAAAGGGTCGTTCGACCCCCAAAGGGGTCGCGACCCACAGGTTGAGAACCGCTGTCAGAGACCAAAGGAGGGCATTCATGGCTTAATCCTGCACCCCAAATCATCTTCTTTTAAAAAATCATTAGCTTCACCCGGCCGGCTGGCGTGGCTCAGTGGCTGAGCGTCAACCTAGGAACCAGGAGGTCAGGGTTCGATTCCCGGTCAGGGCACATGCCCGGGTTGCAGGCTCCATCCCCAGTGGGGCAGGAGGCAGCCAACCGATGACTCCCTCTCATCATTCATGTTTCTCTCCCTCTCTGCCTGTCCCTTCCTCTCTGAAATCAATAAAAATATCTACCTAAAACAAATTTTTTTCTTAAATACATAAACAATGATCGGCTTGCAGCAAAGCATTTTGGGAGGGGTAGCTATATCAAGGCCATGAACTTTACGGGAACAACACCTCCTGTTAGAAGAGCATCTTTGAAGATCTCGGGAGCCCTGCGATAAAATATGCAAGCGATCAAGAGATGGCTCCGTGGGCGCACGCAGCCCGGCAGGCGGTTTCCAGGGGGCTTGTTAGGAAAAATCCATTCCCGAGCACAGGGCTAAGCACACTTCAAAAGTCATTAAAAGCACACATCCCGTGTGGTCTGCGAGGTCTGCGCGCCAACCTTTCGCGAGCGGGAGGAGGAGGCCCACCTTGTGTTTCAGCTTGCTCTTCACTTCCTTGATGCCCTGCTTGGCGTGGCTTTTTGCCTGGAAAGCAAGAATCCGATTGTCGGGCTCAGAACGCTCCTTTTACCACGTGAACAACGAGTCCCCAAGCCCTGGCCGGTTTGGCTCAGTGGGTAGAGCGTCAGCCTGCAGACTGGGGTCGATTCCCGGGCAGGGCACGTGCCTGGGTGGGTTGTGGGCTCGATCCCCAGTGTGGGGCGCGCAGGAGGCAGCCGATCCATGATTCTCTGTCACCACTGATGTTTCTCTCTCTCTCTCCCTCTCCCCGCCTCTCTGAAATCAATATAAATATGCTTAAAAATAAAACAATGAGGAGCCATTGTTAGCTTTTATAAATAAAACTAGAGGTCCGATGCAGGAAAATTCATGCAAGAGTAGGGCTTCTTCCCCCGGCTGGCTTCCCCAGGGCTATCTGTAGGCACCTGGAACCCGGCTGGCTTCCCTCCAGCCCCAGCTTCGTCAGGAAGGACATCCGGAAGACGTCCGGTCTAATTAGCATATTACCCTTTTATTATTATAGATATCCTCTCTATATAATGACACCATTTGAGCACTTGGGTTTCTTTTGGTCAGCGCTATTTCTGATTTTTGACCATCGTATTTAAAAGGAAAGGAGGGAACATTCGAGACTGACAGGTCTCTCGGCTAAAACCATGCCGTAAAATTTTACCGGTGGGGTGTTTAAGTATCCAATGAAGACTCACGTATTTATACGCTGTCCGCACCGCTGGGGTCGCTCTGGTCATCGCGGAGTTGAACAGGGCGCCTCCTTTCTGCAAAGGAAACACAGACACTCATTTCCAAATACGGTCGACCAGATGCCCTGGAAACAAGCACGGGTGATAGGGTAGAAAAAAAGCTTTCGTCATAGGTTCAACGAAGGCCTACAAAACAGCAACAATGAGAGAGACTCATGGACCGGCTGCTTCCTGCACACCCCCCACTGCGATGGAGCCCGCAACCCAGGCCTGTGCCCTTGGCCGGGAATCGAGCTGTGACCTCCTGGTTCATAGGTTGACGCTCAACCACTGAGCCACGCCGGCTGGGCTCACCCTGGAAGGTGAAGCCTACTGCAGCGGCACGGCCAGTAACAGGTGTATATTTAAAGCGTCATAAAGAAATACGACTATTTTCACGTTGGGTAATAAAGTCTCGATTTGTGGAAGAGGGGCTTTATATATTTGAAAAAAACTGTATTAACAAAAAAAAAAACTGTACCGGAAAGGAAAAAGTCCCCCTCCCTCCCCCGCCCCAAATCTCACTATTCCACCCAATTCCCTGTTTTGGAATAGAATTCAAGGTGGCAGTGAAACCTTGCTTTTTCAAAAGAAGCCATCTCTCTCCGGACAAAAGCTTTCCACTGGAAATCGCATTCATAAATACAAGCAGGCGATCAAGGATGTTGAAATGTGAGAACACACACATTGAAAAGACCGCCAAGACACTGCATACTCTGGCTGAACCTCGCCCATAGATCGAGAGTGGAAGGAGAAGAAGTTCTGGAAGGCTGTCATTACCTTGACCGTGTGTACCCACTGCTGATACGACCTCGGGCTCCCTGGGAGAGGCGAAAGTAAGATGTCAGGGATATTTGACCAGAAATAAATCCACAGACCAAAGTTTACCAAGAACGACTACTGCCAGGAATTTAGCAAGCAACTTCTACTTTTCTGCAACGCGGTGGAAGCAGCAAGGAAACGCCATGAGAAAGAATAAACTGTTCTAATTCTTCGAACAGTTATCACCCTTTTTAAGCACAGACACTTTTTCTTCGCTCACCGATGAAGCCAAGACGTTAAAATATGCTGCCGTCTTTCGGTTTTTAATAGTGTCTTCAGAGGGGGGAAAAATACAATCTCTCTTTCGAAAGCCAAGATGTCTGCATCTTTTAAAAACCGATTTTTCAATGTTTCGTGTCTCTTTTACCTTTTTTTTTTTTTTTTTTTGCCTCTTTAACACAATCAGGTTCGTTTTAAGATAATATTTCAAGTGGATAAGATAAAAAAAACAGCAAATAGAAGCAAATTGAGACATGCAGAGGACCTTGAGGACAAAAAAGATTCTCTATGGATGTTCGATGTGAATTTTCATGGACAACAAATCTGATTTCAATGCAATTCCACTGCGGCTCCCGTTGGAAAAGTCTCTGGTTGAGAACCCAAGTGTGAGAGATTCATGCCAGGAATGGTCATCACAGTCACTGGAAAGCTCAGAGGCAGACAAATCCAGTGCGAATAACACCAGTGATCGCATATCCGGCTCCAAAGATGGCCATTTAGTCGGTAAAAGGATATCAGAAGCCCCACAGCTCCCCGAAGGCATGCCCTATAGCAACTGACTGAGTCAGATTTCATCAGCCTTCCTGGTTGTTTAATTTTTTCAAAATATATTTTTTATTGATTTCAGAGAGGAACAGAGAGGAAGAGGGAGAATGAGAAACATCCATGATGAGAGAGAATCATGGACCGGCTGCCTCCTGCACGCCCCCTATTGGGGATGGAGCCCACAACCTGGGCATGTGCCCTGACCGGGAATCGAACCGTGACCTCCTGGTTCATAGGTCAACGCTCAATCCACTGAGCCACAACGGCCGGGCTGCCTTCCTGGTTGTTTAAATGCTTAAGAAAGCAACGTCCCAACGGCTACCCTGCGAGTATCTGGTACACAGAATCCCTAAAACAGCTCATCTTTTTAAAATTGAGACATAATTGACACAAATAACATTATAGCTATAGCTCACATTCAGCCCTTTCCAATTTTGTTCTCAGATTTTGTTTTTTACCTCCATGACATTATTGGAGTTGTACTTTTCAACTCTAAAATTAAGCCCAGCCGGTGTGGCTCAGTGGGTTGAGCGTCGACCTATGAACCAGGGGGTCACCGTTCAATTCCCCGGTCGGGGCACATGCCCGGGTTGCCGGCTCGGTCCCCAGTGTGGGGCGTGCAGGAGGCAGCCGATCCATGATTCTCTCTCATCACTGATGTTTCTCTCTCTCTCTCTGCCTCTCCCTTCCTCTCTGAAATCAATAAAAATATATATATTTTTAAAAAGAATCTGGAATGATGTGGCGCAGGGCAAACTAGAAGTCCCTAAGAAAACTGCCTAAGATGATAGGAAAACATGCTGTATAATTTAGGTAGAAACCTGTGTGTTTTAAAAAAAAAGAAAAAAAAATGTCTAAAGGATGCTTGTCTCTTTAAATTTCGTGCTTTTACGATCCAAGGCTCCTATTAGCACAAAATTGAAGAGACAAGCACATTATTCTTTGAAAATGTTCTTTTTTAAAAGCTGTTTTTCTCCTTAAAAAATGCATCTGAATGCCAAAAATGAAAGAAAAAAGGAGGGGGGAAAAAAAACCCCCAAGACCTTCTGTTCGAGTAACAGGATTATGGGAAGAATCAGCATTTTTTGAGAAAATTCTTCACATTGTTCTTGTTCATCAAAACAGCGATTTTTCTCACACTCAGGGACAGACTCTCCCTCTGGTCTGCGCCAAGCCCGTCTCTCCTAACGTATTTGTTTAAATTCCAGTCATTTGTAGCGTCTTATCCCCAAACATGTACATTGGTCTACATTGCTCGGTGCGGCCAAAAAGATGACACTAAAACTGATGATGAGTTACCGCCCCTTCAAATTCCTCCGCTCCCTTCGTCAGTAAGAAGGGAAACAGGACAGCCCGGCCGGCGTGGCTCAGTGGCTGAGCGTCGACCTAGGAACCGGGAGGTCACGGTTCGATTCCCGGTCAAGGGCGCAGGCCCGGGTTCGGGCTGGATCCCCAGTGTGGGGCGTGCAGGAGGCAGCGGGTCCATGATTCTCTCTCATCATTGATGTTTCTCTCTCTCTCTCCCTTTCCCTTCCTCTCTGAAATCAATTAAAAAAAATAGATCAAAAAATGAAGAATCCAAAACCTTTTGCATTTTTCAAGAACAACGAAGTGGTTGGCACGGAGTCGTACTGAAAATGCAGTCCCCAAGTCAGGTGCCCGCTGGGGACCGCTATCCCCCATCCTTTTTTCAAACAATAAGACCGACAGTGACATCGGTAGGGACCGCCCCTCGGAAAAGCCACCAAAGCCACCTGGCCTGATCCATTGCCTTGGAATGGGGACCGACTCATAATCCATCTACATGAAAGGCTCACGCCCTATTACTGTCACCCACGTCACCTTCCCTCCCAGGGGTGCCGCCAGCCCCACGGGTCACAGAGATAATGAGACAGCAGTTATGTAAATACCCAATCGATGCCTCCAGCAATTTGTCCAGGAGCTGACAATGCTTTGCTTGTCTGAGGTGAAAAGTATAAAAAAAAAAAAAAAGTCTTATTTTAACACAAAAGTCCCATTGAAGCTAAATTCCTCCCAGTGAGCTGAGGGGAGCCAGGAGGTGGGGGACTCCGGGTTCGGCACCTGCAGAGTCAAGTCTGATAAGTTTTTCCCCCAAAATAAGCACTTCCAGGAAAATTCTGTGCTTCTTTCGGGCAAAGGCCCACCGCGCTGGGCTCCCTTGTTCATCTTTAACGAACGGACAGTTGATGGCAATGGCTTTTCTGTTTCCATGCTGCATAAACAGATCTCATTTAAGAATAAAATTCAACATGGGGGCATTTTTAGAAGAGTGCTGTTTGTCTTTTCACGTCTTCTTTAAAAATATATTTTTATCGATTTCAGAGAGGAAGGGAGAGGGACAGAGAACGAGAGACATCCATGGTGAGCCCTGGCCTGTGTGGCTCAGTGCATAGAGCGTCAGCCTGCGTACGGAAGGGTCCCGGGTTCAAGTCCGGTCAAGAGCACGTCCCTAGTCGGGTCAAGAACACGTCGGGTCAAGCTCCATCCCTGGCCCTGGTCAGGACGGATGTGCGCGGGAGGCAACCCATCGATGGTGACATCTCACATCGACGTTTCTCTCTCAGTGTCTCTCCCCTTCCCTTCCACTCTCTCTGAAAAAAAAAAAAAAAAAAGAGCAATGGGAAAAGATCCTTGGGTGAGGATGAACAACAACAACAAAAGAAGGTCAAAACCTCTACAAAATCGACTCACTGAGCATCTAGAAGCCACAGGGCGTTCCACCCTCTCTTTTCAGAGGGCACAGCCTTGTGCCCTGTCTGTGGCCTGCCCCCTGGGCAATAGCATCCCTCGTACGTCCGAGCAGACAGCGCAGGCCGGTAGGACGGGCGGGGAGAGGTCAGCGCCTGCCTCTCTGTGTGTTTATGTCCAGAAATAGCGGGCGGTGACCCAAACCATCACCCCTTGGGGAGCCCCTCCACCCCAAGTCACGCCGCGAGTCACGGGAACAGGCAAAGGAAGTGGATGGATGGGGCGGCCCCTCTGACACAAGAAGATGCCTCTGACACATCACCCGTTTAGAGGGAGACAGCGGGGCATCAAGCCGCTGCTGCCAGACACAGGGGAGAGGATCCCCTGGAAGACAGGTCCTCGCCCGGGACGTCGTCTTTACCTCCAGAAAAGCCCCCAGAGGTGATCTCCTCCTCGAAGGCGTCGGAGAAGCCCTTTCCTGCGTTCAGTTTCGCCAGCCGCCCGTCGATGAACTGAAATGGAAGAGAGTCGGATGGGTTCATCGTCACGGCTCTCCTCAGAGTAAAGGCTCACGTATATCAACGACATGAGCAGCAGACACTCACAGAAACATCAATTACGCACACGCACACACACATATATATATGCACACACACACAGACACAGGACGAGAAAATGCTCCCAGAATTGCAATAGCCAGGACTCAGGAACAGCAGCTCATTATTTAAATATAAATGCAAAGACGAACTTCACGAATGGGAATCGGAAACTGCAGGAGGGCCTGGCGGGTGTGGCTCAGTGGTTGAGCGTCGGCCTATGAACCAGATCACAGTTCGATTCCCAGTCGGGGCACATGCTCAGGTTGCAGGCCCCATCCCCAGTAGGGGGCGTGCTGGAGGCAGCCGGTCCATGATTCTCTCTCATCATTGATGTTTTTATCTCTCTCTCTCCCCCTCTCTGAAATCAATCAATCAATCAATGTATATACATATGGAAAGTGCGGGAAGAACGATCCAGGCTCTGGGCAGCACTCAGTGCACAGGAGTCTGCACAGAGGCCTGCTGGCCCCTCCCGGCCTCCGTGGCCACAGTATCCGCTCAGGGCGTAACTGCAAACCTTACATGAACTTAACCTGACGGATGCGCTTCATTGCACAGTCACTGACACAGGCAGCATCCAAGGAGTGTCAGACCCCTGTCCCATGGAGATCAAGTTCCTCCAGCAAAATTCAGCACCCTCATCTAACCCGTCCTGTCCCGAAGTATAACACAGCAGAGGTGATTCGAACCGCTTACCAACAAGTAAGCACACCTCTCTTTTTTAAAAATATACTTGTATCGATTTCAGAGAGGAAGGGAGAGGGAGAGACATAGAAACATCCATGGTGAGAGAGACTCATCGATCGGCTGCCTCCCGCACGCCCTACACAGGGGATAGAGCCCGAAACCCGGGCCTGTGCCCTGACCGGGAATCGAACCATGACCTCCTGGTTCCTACGTCGACGCTCACCATCATGGCCGGGCTGTCATGTGTAGAATTATTCATTCCATCCTCCCTTAGGTCAGAGGCAGTCACTTCTAACGCGGGCATCCCTGCTCCACAGAATAAATGGCTAATTCGTAAGAAAAGCAGTTGAAAGTGATTGCAAAATTCGGCCTGCACCCATTCCCAGCCCAGCATTATCCATCAAGTATCCTTTTGAAAGAAAAAGCAAGGTGAGGCAGAGAGATAAATTTAAAGCGATCCGTCCCTGACGATCAGGCCCAGGGAAGGCATCCTTTTAAAGGCCTCCACTCGCCCGAAGAGATTAAGACCGCGGGACTTTCTAAAAGGTTTCCATTTCTGTGTTTACTGGAAATAATCCCCCCCTTTTACTTGGAGTGGGACGGCTCAGGTCCGGAGATAGATAAATCCCCGACCATCCCCTGATGGTGCGTTTCTGGGGGTGAGTGAGTGCTGGGGGTGACGGCCCTGCCGTGCGACCCAACGGCCATCCATCACCCGCCTAAATGCCTCGTGTTATCGCCGACCGGGCCGCCAAGCCCGCCAAGCCCGCCAGGGACAGCCGGACACGGCTCAGCCGCATGCTTCATGAGGATGGGTCTGGGGGCGCGCACCCCCATGTAGTATGAACGCCCACACAAACACAGGCACCCCCGGGGGGAGCTGGGCCGTGGGACTCACGGCGGGAATGCTAAAGGGCAAGAGTTCTCCCAACTCCCTTTTTCTATTTTTGCCTCAATAACAGCTTCTTTTCCCGTCCAAGTGGAGTTGGTTCCCGGCCACACCTCCCCCCCCAATAACTCCCTCGCATTTCACAGTGAGAAAAAGAAAAAAAAAGAAAAAGATAAGGACAGGTTTGGCTACCGTGGCACAGAAACAAATTGTGAACGAGAAAACAGCCTGTGTTGGAAAGCGATGGTTTTATAAGGGCCTTAACCTTGGGTAACGGTTAGGAAACACACATCCCTAGCTCCGTGGTCGGCAAACCGCAGCTCGCGAGCCACAGGCGGCTCTTTGGCCCCTTGAGTGTGGCTCTTCCTAAGCCTTAGGAGGACCCTAATTCAGTGAATAACAATGTGCCTACCTATAGAGTTTAAGTCTAAAAAATCTGGCTCTCAGAAGAAATTTCAATCGTTGTGCTGTGGATGTTTGGCTCTGTTGACGAATGAGTGTGCCGACCACTGGCCTAGGTCATTGGAAGACGTGAGTTTTGAAAGAGTGACTTGGTATTGAGAGGAATGACAAGAAACACTGCGAATAACAACGAAAGTGCCAGAGACAGCGCAGAAAACGAGACGGCAGCAGGTTTTTAAAGGAAGGCAGGAGTGCGCTAAGATGATGGCGTTTACGTCAATCTTCCTATTTGGCTTTTTAGTCCAGAGGCATTGAAGGGTCGCACGCTGGTTTGATCCCCGGTCAAGGGCACGTACCCGGGTTGTAGGCGCATGTGGGAGGCAACCAATCGATGTGTCTCTCTCACCTCAATGTCTGTCTGTCTCTCTCTCTCTCTCTCTCTCTCTCTCTCTCTCTCTTTCTTTCTCTCTCTCTCCCTTCCTCCCTCCCTCTCTCTCTAAAAATCAACAGAAAAAAAATATCTTCGGGTGAGAATTAAAACAAGTAATAATAAACGCTCAAAAAGATTGTTCGGGGCAGAGGGGGTCAGTGGAGCACCTCTTTGCCGGCTGGGGAACAGGAAGTCGGGGTGCTATTTTGTGTGCTAACCTAAAGCACAGAAGCCAACCCCCAGAAGCGACACACTAGACACAACCGCACACCCAAACGCGTTTTCAGTTCGGAGGAAAAATGACCGTGTTGCAAAAAATGATCTATGAGCAGCCCCTCTTGGACACGAAGATAACTAAGCTAATAAAATCCAAGCCTCGCCCTGGCCAGTTTGGCTCAGCGGATAGAGCGTCGGCCTGCGGACTCAAGGGTCCCAGGTTCGATCCTGGTCAAGGGCATGTAACTTGGTTGCGGGCACATCCCCAGTAGGGAGTGTGCAGGAGGCAGCTGGTCAATGTTTCTCTCTCATCGATGTTTCTAACTATCCCTCTCCCTTCCTCACTGTAAAAAAATCAATAAAATATATTTTTTTAAAAAATCCAAGCCTCAAGGGCTGGAGAAAAAGACATTGTAAGTGAACCAGAGATCATTCACAATTTCAAAAAACATTCCAAAAAATTAAACTACTTTTAAAATATATTCATTTCTTAGGGGTCTCTACAGTTCCCTTTCTTCGGGGCTAAAAAAGAACCAGGTAGTAGTCTGATTTAAATATTTCACCTTATAAATGCTCCGTAAACCTTGACAGCTTAGTGAAAACTACGCTCAAGTGTTATAATAAATTAAGTCATCAGCTACTTATGGGCACCTGCTAATGGCCAGAGGCTCAGCCAGTCGCCGTGTATATATATATACACACGGCCTGTTGTAACAAGTGGGAACACGCCGGGCCAGTCTCGAGCTTAAATCCAGAGAACGGAGTACGTGAAGGAGTAGAAATATATTGTTATTTTTATTTCCTCGCCCAGATTCAGTGGTCACGTGACAGTTAACCTCTCACATGCTAAATTAGCCTGCCAGGGCATAATGACCCGAAAAGCAAGTGAAGAGTATAAGAAGCCCATTCAGTGCTACTTACTATTAGACCTAATAATTTAAAAGCAGCATCGATGGGACAATAGCGCCCCCCAGGAATATCAACAGACAGACATGAAATAATTTTCTCCAGCACGAAGTCTGTTGAACTTCACGACCATCGGCCCGAAGGATCCATGAATTCAATCATTCAATAAACACGTAATGGCATGTCTGCTACACACCGGGCACTTTTCTAAGCGCCTGAAACACTGAAAATGAATAAAACAGACCCAAATCCAAGTCTTGGTGATGCTACAACAGCTGGCGGGGGAGGGGGTGGCGGAGAGAAATAGCAAGAAATAATGCGATCCATTACTTAGTACGTGAGAAGGTGCTGAGTGTTGGGAAATAAACTAAAGATTGTGTGAGGGAGGCTGGGACTGTGGGGCAGGCACTTTCCATTTCAAATAGTGAGGCTGGGCCCTGGCCGGTGTGGCTCAGTGGATAGAGCATCGGCCTGCGGACTGAAGGGTCCCGGGTTCGATTCAGATCAAGGGCACATGCCCGGGTTGCAGGCTCGATCCCCAGTGTGGGGCGTGCAGGAGGCAGCCGATCCATGATTCTCGCTCATCATGGATGCTTCTATCTCTCTCTCTCCCCTCTCCCTTCCTCTCTGAAATCAATAAAAATAAATAAAACATAAAAAAATGCGAAAATGCATCCTCGTGCTGCTATTCTTGCGGCTGCAGGGTCTCCATCGCCCGCCTGGGTCACATTACACGTTTACTCCTTTTTCAGGTCGTGAAATATGTGTCGGGTGCAGTTGCCGCCTCGCCTCGCCTCTGTTCACGCGGCAGATGTGTTCTCACACCCCCGAACGGCGCGATCTCCAGCTCCACTAATGCATGTGCTGATCTCGGCTATAAATTACCCACCGTACATAACGAACTATGTGTTTCTTTAAAAAAAAAAAAAGATGAATAGGAAGGTGTGGAGATTTATCAGAATTTATTGTTATGTTAAAAGCTTTCTAAAATCTCCCCAAATCTCCAGCAAACATAAAAGGGGCACGTTTGGCTTCTGACCCGTCTCTCTGATCCAGGATCTTATTCAAGTCGGAGAAAGTGGGTCAGAGCACAAAACATAAAGGCTCTGGATCTCAGAGAATTCCCACTCTGCACAGCACGACCTCATGCGACGACTCCAGGTTTAACATGACGGACACCACGCCCTGCCGGTGTGGCTCCGTGGCTGAGCGTCAACCTATGAACCAGGAGGTCGGGGTTCGATTCCCGGTCGGGGCACAGGCCCAGGTTGGGGGCTCGATCCCCAGTGTGGGGCACGCAGGAGGTGGCCGATCCATGATTCCCTCTCATCATGGATGCTTCTCTCTCTCTCTCCCCCTCTCCCTTCCTCTCTGAAATCAATGAAAATATATTTAAAAAGTAAAAAAGGGCAAGAAACCAACACAGGTGCAAGGCTGCTGAGGGACCCCAGGTAAGAGGCCTGGAAAGAAGGGCTCGGCCCTCAGGAGGCGGCGGCTAAAGAAAGATGGAGCTGTCAGGGCCGGGGCTTAGGAAGCGGTTTCTGGGACGCCTTCCAAGTCCATTATCTGACGAGGAGCCGCTCCAAATGGAGCCGCTATCACCCGCCAACGTTCTGTTTATTTCACGGTATCGGGGAATGTTCGCGCCGGAAGGTATCTCGGATGCGGTGGCGCTGCAAGCTGACTCATGTTACAGGGGCCCCAGGAGGTTAAGGCGTGGACAGTCAAGAAAAACACAGCCCACGACTGGCGAATCTAGAAACGTTCAAAACCAGGGTTTTTTTTCCCTTTTTTTTTTTTAAAAAAAATATATTTCTATGGAATATATTTATATTCAGAAGGTTCCTCCATTTGCATGTGCTCATTCGAGTCTTTTGCACCATTAGGTTGGATATGATTCTTTACTGACACACAGAAGTTTGTTTCTTTATATTCTAGATTCTAAAGTCTTGGGTGCTTCATATGTATTGCAAATATGGTGTTTCTATCTTCAAAGTAGCGAACATGTCAGTTTGGCCCGGCCGGTGTGGCTCAGTGGTTGAGCGTCAACCTATGAACCAGGAGGTCATGGTTCGATTCCCGGTCAGGGTACATGCCCGGGTTGCGGGCTCGATCCCCAATGGGGGGCGTGCAGGAGGCAGCTGATCGATGATTCTCAACGTTGATGTTTCTCTCTCTCCCTCTCCCTTTTTCTCTGAAATCAATAACAGTATTTTTTAAAAATAGGTGCTTTTTGTAACTATATAAAAGAAAAACTTATTGCGTCGGACGGAACTTGCTCTAATGATAAGACTCTAGTCGTGGAGTTCTGATGGTCAGAGTTCTGATGGTGGAGGCCTAACTGACCAAGCATGTCAAACTCGCGGACCTCGGGCGGCATACAGCCCACAATGAAGATTTCTGGGGCCCAGCCCATGTAACGGTATGCAAGAAACGTTTTAATAAAAATTTCCTAACTTAATTTTTACAACATCCTGTTATACATCATTATGAATAACGAACTACAACATTTGCTAATGACTGATGACTATCATCGTGTTGCATTCATTTCCCTACGCGCCTTACGCACAGGCGCACCATTTCTCTCCACGAATACCAGCAGCGAGTATTTTAGCAGCCGACGGCCACGTCATTCGTCTTGGACTGACTTGTGTGGTGTGCACAACAGGAAATAGTTCGCTTTCGGAGAACGAGAAAAATAGGTTTACTTGCGTGACGCTTATTCATTTGTGTAGTTAGTTATTCAGTGTCCGGTAAGTTAATGTTCAAGAACAAATATTCATTTTTACTAGAATGTTCTATTACTTTATGTTAGCGATGGCTCATTTATTGCAACCCTTTGTATTCAGCACGTCTCTATCGAAACAAACCCACGTTTCTACGAACATGGAAGCTTTTGTTTTTTTTGCTGCCCACGTACACTTACACCTTGTTGATTTGGCCTGTGTTAGCCTTTGTGTTTGACATGCTTGAGTGAGATCTTCTACCCGCCCACTCCACCCATGACCCCCACAGAATTCGACCTTCACAACTCACTTAGGACACAGACAGGTGGCACGGTCTCACCTTGACAGATAAAGACACAGAAGGGCACTAATACTCCACGCGAGGGGGCCCACCCTCACCTGCTTGAACAGCTGCAGGTTCACGGCCGTCTCCAGGAATTGCTTCATCGGGCTGGAGCGGTGCCTCACAAAGCTCTCCTCACAGAAGGTGACGGGCTCCCCCTGGAGGGAGAGAGGAGGTCGGGGCGTCCGTAGACGGGAAACCGGACAACCAGGGGGTCCGGGCTGCCTGTCGCTACGTGAGCCAATTCAGCACAGACAGGGCTGAATCCTCCACAGATGAGCGTTCATTCCAATAAAGGCAGCAGCCTGGGAGAGCCGCCGTCGGAAAAGGTTAGGGGCAAACACAGCCTACTGGGGACTCGCTACGGCCTCACTGCCAAACAATGGAGCCCCACCCCAGCCCGCACTACCGTTCCCGCCTGTGATCCCTGCGTCCCCGTGTCATCTTTGTCCTCCTACCCTACAGAGGCAGCTGGCTATGGGGGGCTGCAGAGCAGCTTTTTGTGGATGACCTGCTGGTATGGAGGTCAGGGTTCGAATCCCGGTCAGGGCACAGGCCCAGGTTGCAGGCTCGATCCCCAGTGTGGGGCGTGCGGGGGGCAGCCGATCCATGATTCTCTCTCATCGTGGATGTTTCTATCTCTCGCTCCCTCTCCCTTCCTCTCTGAAATCATTTGAAAAATGTATTTTTTTTTTTTAAAGAAAAGCAAATGCAAATTGAAATCATGACGCAAGGCAGGCTCACGGGTTTGTATCTCAGCGCGTCTCGGTAGCATCCGAACAGAGCGGCCTGCGCCCTGAGGAAGGCCCGGGCCACCCCGTCCCCCGTGGCCGTGGACTGCTTCTTCAGCTTCGTCTTCAGGGCCGAGACCTGCGGGACAGAGAGGAGCCATTACATCAGTGGTTCTCAACCTTCCGGCCCTTTCAATACAGTTCCTCACGCTGTGACCCAGCCATACAATTATTTTCGTGGCTACTTCATCACTGTCATGTGGCTACTGCGATGAATCGTCATGGAAATACCTGATATGCAGGATGGTCTTCAGCGACCCCTGTGAAAGGGTCCTTCGACCGCCAAAGGGGCCGCGACCCGCAGGTTGAGAACCGCTACGTTACATGAACACCTCAGGAACTGGTCCGGGGAGGCACGGGCCCCAGGGCAGGCAGGCCGACCCCAGACCCTGCGGGTCCCCCCCCCCCCGGACCCCCCCCCCCCAGCTCGGCCTCCTCCCCGCAGCTTCTCCCCTGAACGGCGGGAGCGCCTGCTGGCCCGTTAACTGAAGGGAAAGCTGGGACCCAGAGTCACGTGCTGATGCAAATGGCTCCACGCTCTCCCTTCTCCTGTCTCCCAAGGCCTCTTGACATCAACGAGCTTTAATTGTTTTACAGGAAACTGCTTGGGAGTCACTTCTTGCCCATTTTTTTAGCCATCACAACAGGTGTCTACCCTCCATTTCTGCCCTAAAAGGCTCCTCGTTCCAGGTCCTCCGGGGTCCCTTCCCATTGAATCTTAGTTTTGGAAGCCTCGCCTGCATATGGGATTTGCGGATCCCTTGCTGAATAGTTCTGAGCATCTATAATAATCAAAGCGCCATATGCTAATTAGACCAGACGTCCTTCCGGGCGTCCTTCCTTCCGGACAAATTCTGCCACAGCAGAATTTCGTGCACCGGGCCTCTAGTTATGACATAAGAAAGGGGAATGAAGGTAAAGTTATTGAGAGCCTACGGTGAGTAGAGAACTGTGTTGTGCAAATGGTATACCCGGTCTTGTTTAAATATGTTTTTATTGATGTCAGAGAGGAAGGGAGAGGGAGAGAGAGAGAAACATCAACGATGAGAGAGCATCACGGATGGGCTGCCTCCTGCACACGCCCCACACTGGGGATCGAGCCCTGACCTGGAATCGAACTGTGACCTCCTGGTTCCTAGGTCGATGCTCAACCACTGAGCCACACCGGCCGGGCAAGAAGGAATATTTTTATTTCCTGACGCAAGCGGTCCTGACTCCTCTTGTCGATGATGGTTGTCACGGAAGGGTCAACCTAATTAACAACTCAACTTTGAATAATGCTAATGAGAGAGGGACACAGCGTCAGAGGAAAGACCAGCTCTACAGGTGACAAACCTTCACAGGAGTGACATTTTCCAGGGAAAAGTCACAGTGACTCTGATCTGATCAAAGGGAGGGACCCCCACTGGGTCCAATTATACCCTCAGTCTGGAGAAAATGATTGAGTCGGGATATTCATCATCTAGGCAGCAAGGCTTGTGTCGTGTGGGCTGCCTCCCAATAGCTGATCTTCCCCATTTCTACCCAAGCCCCCTAGATGCAGATGGAAGTTTATTTTTTTTTAAGGAATCTGCCTTTTATTTCACATGTGAATCTGAACAGGGTGGGGATGGGATGTGATTAACATTTTATTTTACTTGTTTAAAATATACTTGTATTGATTTCAGAGGGGAAGGAAGAGGGAGAGAGAGAGAAACATCCACGATGAGAGAGAATCATGGATCGGCTGCCTCCTGCACGCCCCACACTGGGGATCCAGCCCCCAACCCAGGCGTGTGCCCTGACAGGGAATCGAACCCTGATCTCCAGGTTCATAGATCGATGCTCAACCACTGAGCCACGCCGGCCGGGCATCCCTGCTGAATTTGTGCTGATTTCGTCTGGGCTTCCCCTAGAAATTTCAGGGGCCTCCATGGACTGTGAGACACAATGAGGACGTTAGCAGAACTGAACCGTGGCAAACCTGGGACAAAGGGAATATTCTCTGGGGCCCTTTTTTTTCTTGATGACAACGTAACCTATTAAACCTTCATGTTGGATTAGAGGAAAGTGCCAAAGGCTTCACCAAGTCTGTTGACTATCTTTAGCTGGGAGACTGCCGTTTGTTTATCTACTTATTGTTTTCTTTTTAAAAAAAGCTCATTTAAAACACTCTTTGAAAAAGCCCATTTTTTCCCCAAACTTATTCCCAAATTAATTAACTCGCTCGAATGCAACTATCTAAACAATTTATTTAAAGTCAGCGTTGTTGTTGTTGATTCTAGCTCTTTAGTCTTCAGTCTTTAGGCTGACTTCTTTAGTCATGGTTTTTGGTGACTGAGAACAATTCATGTCTTTCTTTTTTCTTGATCTCCGAGAGGAAGGAAGAGGGAGAGAGAGATAGAAACATCCATGATGAGAGAGAATCACTGACCGGCTGCCTCCTATACGCCCCCTATTGGGGACCAGGCTGGAAACCTGGACATGTGCCCTTGACCGGGAATCGAACCGGTTCAGAGGTCAATGCACTGAGCCACACCTGCGAGGGTGCCTTTTCTTTGTTTCACAATAAAAACATCAACCTGTTCCTTCAGGGGCAGCCGAGAGCCTCGAGGGGAGATGCCTGGGATTTTAAACGACTCATTGTATGTCAAGGCCTCCTCAGTGTTTCCGTAAGGACAGGCACTTCACACACAGGTACCGTCCACGGAACGGAACGCACCGTGGTTCCCAGCGAACTGCACGAGGACTCTTACACGTACCTATTTTCTACACACCCTCCTTATATGACACGGAAAATCATTTCCCAATAGGGTTACAGGCCAGGTGAGAATGAGTGGTTCAGACAGTGCAGAAAATCCGAATTCACATCCAATAGGCCATCGGGACGTTTCCGTAACAAGATTAGAAAGGAGAGAAGCTTGGATATGGAATCTTAGAAGAGTTAGCTCATGGCTCCGGGAGTCACGGTTATGGGAGAGGGACCGCGGTCTCGGGTGTGGGGCATGAATCCGAGGGTCAAAACCCATGTCACCTAAAGCTCTAAAAACACCATTAACGGCACCGTCTGTGCGCCTTCATCTTCAAAACAGGAGACCTGAGACAGGTCACCTGTCTCAGAGTATATTATTATTATTATTATTATTATTGTTATTATTATTTATGATTTACTGAGTTAAAATGAAAGACAGGGAAGCAATATAGGTCCAAATGGACATTCCGACGCACGTAACTGTCAGATGCCCACTCTAACCTGCTTTCAGGTAGAAGAGCGAGCTGACCGTGGTTTTATCTTAACAGTCCCCTGGAGACGGATTTCCTGCATCTCGTCATGATTCTAATTCGCTTCGTTTCCCAGCAAGTGGGTCGCCCTATTTATTTCTGAAATAATAACCACGGTTCAAGGTACTTGTCCAAGTGTCAATGACAGTAAAAATTAAAACGCGCAGTAATAGCTTAGAAATACAGTATTTTAAGTGGGTGCATAATTGACACGAAATGAGTGTTGATATTTGGAATGGGGGTGGGGGGTGTCTCCATAGTGCATTTTCTTAAACGAAAGTGACCTCATTAGAGATTTCACATGTTCTGTTTAATCAGACTGGTTCTTCTCCCACCCCTTGCTTCAGAACATAACACAATAACGCGAACTTCAACTGGTATTGTTTCTAGCCCTAACATGGCCTTTTTTTGAAATTTCCAAACACTCAAACAACATCTGTTTGGAAGTCTCCATATTTGGCACAGCCAATAAAAAAATAAAATCAGCTGAAACCGGTTTGGCTCAGTGGATAGAGCGTCGGCCTGCGGACTGAAAGGTCCCAGGTTCGATTCCGGTCAAGGGCATGTACCCGGGTTGCGGGCATATCCCCAGTGGGAGATGTGCAGGAGGCAGCTGATCGATGTTTCTAACTCTCTATCTCTCTCCCTTCCTCTCTGTAAAAAATCAATAAAATATATTAAATAAAATAAAATCACACACAAAAATAAAAAAAACTAAAATCACAATGTCCTCACAGGCCAACACGGCGACGGCCGCTCTGAATGGACCCCCAGCTTTTAAAAGCGACCCCGCGTAATCATCAATATCGTTAAAATCACTCCCAATCCAACCTGCGCTCCGTTTCCTTTGAGCGCCCCAAATCTGTAGTGAAATGATGAAATCGAAAAACAAGTGTTCGTGTCAGAAGACAGAACGGGAGTTTCTCCCCCCCCACCCCCCCCACCCCCATCCCCGCCCCCTTAAGGGACACAAAGGGTCGCCGGACGCCTGGCCCTGATTTATTTCTCCAATTTTGAATTTCTTGAGTAACGGAACTGCTACTGGCAGGGTCGTATTTCTCACAGTCCATAAATCTCCGATATTATGTGTGAATATTGGAATGAAGCCATTAAGAAGATTACAGCGTGCGACGCAGCAGAGGGTCCCCGGGAAAAAAGACGGGTAATTCAGGACAACTGTGACCACTGACCCGGGGCCAGCGCGGCCACTGGGCAGGCGGGCACCTAATCGGGAGCACATGGGCCCGGGGTCCTTCCGGACTCGGAGCGCAATTTAAGGGCCCGCTGCACGGGTTTAAAAGGCCCCCGTTGAACTATCAGTTAATTTATTAAACAACCAAACAAGGCCAGTAGTCCTGTGTTCCAGGCTTCGGGTCTAGTTTACGAGCTCCCATCGCACACGGAAGTCAGGATGATTCTTGACATCACTGAAAACATGGACAGCGACAGGACATAGGACTTGATACTTGATCCTGTCATCCTGAAAGCGGACGATACAGCTACATGGGCGAGAGATGGTTAAGCAGTCCTCTGAAATGTTTTTAAGACAATGAGTAGGACCTCAAACACCGCAGGCTTGTGATCATAGCCCTGGCGCTACCTGGGAGCTATTTCAATTTCTTCTTTCTTCATATTTGTAAGTCCCTGGCCCTTAGCTTCACACACACACACACACACACACATATTTCTGTCTACACCACCTCGCAACGGCCTTCTTAGCAATATTTTCACTGTTTCACTTATGCCTCGTTAACTGTGGCTATAAGATGGTCCCTCGTGTCCTTGTACATTGTGTGAATATTGGTTAACTCCTCATATTTAACTCAATGTTTTCACATCAAGCTAATTCTACTAGGGAAGTACTACTTCTTTACTTAAAAAAGAATCGCCCATCAAAACAATGACCGTTAAAGATTCTTTTTCTCAAAGAAAGAACGAGGCGTCGTTAAAGTGACTAAAAATTTTATTGTCACACACACACACACACACACACACACACACAAAACACATTGATTTCTTATTTTTCTTCCTCTTCCTCCTTTTTTTTTAAAAAAATAAACAATCCTTTCTCCTTAGACTATTAAGAGCAGGGAATACATGCACCTAAGGAAAACATTCTTAAAAGTTGGGGCTTTGTTTTCGTAATTATTTCTCTATCCGGCGAAGGATACTTTGATGGATTTCCAAATGAATAACTCTAATCATTTCTAGCAGCTTCTGCAAAATTTTTATAATGAGGCAATCTAGTTATAATGAGCTCAAAACATAATAAAATTCTGCACTGAGCGGGGGGGTGTGGATTTGTTCGTACGTAGCCTTAATGGCAAGATAAAGAGGTTCAATTTCATTTGCTTCAAGGTCAGCAAGCATTCGAGGTTATTTATTTATACCCATAAATAACCTGATGTGGGCTTAAAATATCCTATTTTCCTATCACTAGCCATAAACACAATCAGGTTTAGCTTCACTGTTATTTTTTCTGAGTACGAAATTTTTTAAATTCCATTTCTCAAACTCCCTAATCATGATTTCAAAATACTTGCCATATGACAGGGGGAAAAAAATATATATTCTGGAGGTTTTGTTTATTCTCCAATTTTAATACCTCTGAAAAGAATGAATTTAAAAAAAAAGAGGGGGGGGAGGGAGCGCAGTATTTTTTTTTTTACCTAGGACTGTGTTATAAAGATATTTTTCAACCACCATTCAGAAACAATCCCAGCCTGCATTTTTTTGGCCCTGTCATCAGAAATACCAAGGCCATAAAATGTACTTTTGGAGGCTATTTAACATGGAATACAGAATCTGCCCTGTTAGAAGCTGTAGACACACACGTGTGCGCGTACACACACACACACACACACACACACACACACACACACACGCCCTTTGCGAGATCAAAGACCCGGAGAGAGCCGGCACTTAATTCATCAGCCTTCCCCGAACCAGAGACAGTTTTCGTCATTTCAAAAGGCTCAGATGTCTTTCATGACAAGCCGGGCCTGCAGTTTAATTTACAAAACAGAATCCCAAGCCGGCCAGCCTCGGCGCGGCCCAGGCCGGGGCCGCACGGCGTGCGTTTCCCTCCCCACCGCCCCCAGCAGGCCCGGGAAGATGAAACACGCAAACCGAAATAATTTAGGGAAAACAAATAAATGTTTCAGGAACGTCGAGGGGGATCAAAGGCAGCGTTTGCTGACCCCGCCGGGCCCCGCATTTCTGATGAGACTGACCGGGGCCATCGGATCATTAATTAAAAGGAACGGTGCTGGCAGGTGGCGGGGACGCGCCGCCGGTAATTGGCTCCCTTCTCTTTCCTTCAAAAACTCTCTCTCTCTCGCTCTTTGGCAAGACATGCCACCAGGCAGACAGAAATGCCTACTTTGTAAGATAATGATGAAGATGAGAGGGAGAGGTGCCCGTTTCAAGAAACGCTGCCTAATGAAGGCGCCCGGCTTTTTAATTACGGTCCCGCGTCTCCCCAGCTGCCAAGGAGGGAGACACGGGACACGCAGACCCGCTCGGATGCCTCACCCACGCGCGCAACCCCTTTATCTCCCAGTCTATGAAAGTGGGGGGACTCGCTCTCGGGAAGTCGGGGCGCAGGAGCAGCCGTGGGTGTACGGATCCAGGGGCGCCCCCAAGGGCCCTCCCGGACTCACCACATCACTGGGGAGGTTGTCCAAGTCGTGAAACGGGGACTCCAAAGTGTTCGTGTCCACGTTTAACATCACCACGTCCTCCAGCGATCTGTTCCTCACTCTCTGTCGAAAACACACCGTGATCAATGAGACGGCTCAGGGCCTCGGCCCTCCAAAATCCGCCGAGCTTGGAAATGTAGGGAGAAGTGTCTGAAGGCATGAGTCTGGGGTCGGCACACTCATTAGTCCACAGAGCCAAATATCAACAGTACAACGACTGAAATGTCTTTCGAGAGCCAATTTTTTTGAACTTAAACTATACAGGTAGGTACATTGTTATTAACTTCATTAGGGTCCTCCTAAGGCTTAGGAAGAGCCACACTCAAGGGGCCAAAGAGCCGCCTGTGGCTCGCGAGCCGCGGTTTGCCGACCACGGGTCTGGGGGGAAGAATTAAGGGAAAAGTCCTGCCTCATAAAAAGAATGCAAACAACTTTGCTTTATGAGGAAAAATAGTTCCTATCCGACCATTCGAAAAGGTTGGGTTGAAAACGCTTAACTAGCACGTTTGCTCATCTCAACATACTGATGCGGTTTGGAGATAATGACTATGATTTAGCTGCCACAGATATCTCCCGACGAAGACTTACAAAGTGGGCATGGTTATGTTGAACTGTGAAAAGTTATCTTCTTTCAATTTGATCAACTGAATTGTGATCTTTGATACAGGAACATGGGTCAGGTCCTAGACCAGTGATGGCGCACCTATGACACGCGTGTCAGAGGTGACACGCGAACTCATTTTTGTGGTTGATTTTTCTGTGTTAAATGGCATTTAAATATATAAAATAAATATCAAAAATGTAAGTCTTTGTTTTACTATGGTTGCAAATACCAAAAAATTTCTATATGTGACACGGCAACAGAGTTAAGCTAGGGTTTTTCAAAATGCTGACCCGCCGAGCTCAAAAGGTTCACCATCACTGGCCTATACCTATATTTTTTTTCAGTATAAATCATAATGTAGGTCTAAGATAAGCCAACCAAAGTTCATAGCAGTCAATGTTTTCTCTATATTTCCATTTCGATTTGGTGTAAGTTTATGATGACGACAAAGTCAAATAAAAAAAAAAGACAGAGAGGGAAGTAATATGGAAGTCATTCTTAGTATTTATCACATGAATTTCAACATAAAAGATCAGATTTCATAGCCTATCAGATTAACTAGTTGACTGTTTGTTTGAAAGCTTAGTCAATTGGCCAAATTATCTCAATATGTGTACAAATAATTGTGAATTAGAATTTCATCAAATTTTTCATCCTTAAAGAAAGAAAATATTTACAGTTCATGTTTCCTATTTAATTTAATATGTATACTTAAATCATATAATTCTACTGGTCTTTAATAAATGATAGCACCTAATCTTATTCCCTAATGCAAATAAGGTGTGCATTAATAAAATTTATCCACCAACTCAGAACTCCATAATTGTATAGGTCAACTAGCAATAGGTCAATTAACTTCAGCATCATATTTTTAAAGTGACATTCTAGAAGAATAGCCATTTTTGAGAAATATGAAATACTGTACATTTTAAATTGGCCAGATTAATTACTTTGTTTTCAAGTTGGGCAGGACTAAAATTTCTCTGACTCGTTTAGAATTTCAAATCTCTGCATCAACCCAACCCAGGAACCAAAAGGTCCCAGTTCGATTGCCGGTCAGGGCACATGCCTGGGTTATGGGCTCCATTCCCAGTAGGGGGTGTGCAGGAGGCAGCCCATCCATGGCTCTCTCTCATCATTGATGCTTCTCTCTCTCTCCCTGTCCCTTCTTTTCTGAAATCAATAAAAATATAATAAAAACAGAGCACAAGGTGTTGAAGGTGGTCAGCCTGCCTCCCATCCTCGCGAGAGGACGCTTCCGGGCAATGTGGCTAGCGTGGATGGACAGGAGCATCGATGCAGGAAGAGGCCACAGGGTAAGCATGTCCCGCAGAATCCTCTGCGCGCGCACACGGTCCACATGACCCTCCCCTTGGCGGCCTCGCCTCATTTATTTCTAATCGCCCACAGGCCTTCGCCAGCCTTGGGTTCGTCCCTCAAGTCTCGTTTCCCAGGCAGAACAAAATGTCCTTATCCTTAATTTTGGAAAGAGAGCTCCACTGTCAAAAGAGACTGCTGGCCATCTTTTATACCCAGGATTGCATAAAAAGAATTAAAAGGGAGATTTAAAAGGTCATTCATTTCATGGCTTTGAACGACTATGTTTACAAGTCCTGCACTGCCTTGACTGAGAATAAGAGAATATGTGATTCTCCCTTAAAAAAAAAATTCGTTGTAACCGCAGCCAATTAAGATGCGGAAAATTACGCACTTCAGCCTCCCCTATAAAACATGTAAGTAGATATACCTACGTTTTAATTATAATGACATTTACATAAAATTTAAAATTTTGGTGGAAAAAAAATCTGCCAATAATGACATGATAAGAATGGAATTGGAGCTTGCATATCATCTCCTAATAGATTAAGGAGAAAGTTACTAAATGGTGCCCAACTAGTATAAAACATACCTACCGTTCCTGTTGTACCGTCTCACTCACGATGAAACCAAATAATGGTTCATTAAGAACTAAAGTTTTCTGGATTTAAAACTAACCATGTGATTTCTCCCTTATGTAACCTATTTTCATGGGTTTCCTGCCATTGAAGATGCTCATTTGGTATAAAAATTAAAATGACGTTATTTCAATGTTACTTTTTAAAAAAATGACCATGTGAGTATGATATTAAACTAGTCACTGCTCTGTACTAGTCAACTGATATTCTTCCAAAGCACAACTGTGTTAACTATGATTTTTATGAGTGAATTGATCACTATTGTCTGATGGATACTCACCTCTATGAGGCTGGAGTGTACTCCAATCAGGTACGGCATTGGAGCGCTGAATTTAAAAAACGGTACATTCATAGTTCATTAAAACTGAAACAATATACGTAGTTCTGCATGCTTAAACTATTACTTAAATGCACAGTTCTAACGTAGCATAGCTTAGGTATTTTAAATTATTTTCTATATACAATTCAAATTGAAAGACCATTAATAGATTCAAGTTAAGGTTGATTTATATATAAAAAAAATCACAAAATCATTTCTAAGTAAATCAAGAAACGGAATGCTTTAAAAAACTTTACCGATTGAGAATATTAGGGTCGAGGCGATAACCTGAGTTGAACCTTTTCCATATACTTCATGTCAAATATATCATAAATAATCATCAAATGTATTCATATTTCTTTTGTACATCTTTTTATCCAATTAGATCCTCATTCCTATGATTTTCTTAATATATCATTATTTCCCCCCTACTACATCGGCAACGTTTTTTGAGTCAGTCAGTACCAAATACTTATGGAGCCCTACTGTGCGCCGGGCAAAGTTCCTCCTCACTGTCATCATCCTATTTCGGTCCTGTCCTTCTGCTCATGTACCCTTGTCTTTTCATTCAAATATCATCCTTTCCTTTTTATCCCACATTATATTTCTTAATAGAATAATTTTAACAAATTAGAAAATATGCAAATAAGTTTAAGAATAATATTGTATTAAATTAATTAAAATATGGAAAGCCCACCAGGTGCCCTGGTCGAGGGCCTTGGGTCCAACAGTAAACAATATGGACCGAATATACTCCCCGGGGGGGTCTCATACTCTAGCAGAGAATAGAGTCATTCAATAATTTTTGTAGCACATACCATCAGACTCACCACTAACTCAAAAACAGTTCTCATGAAACAGAAGAAGGAAAGTATTCAACTTGACATTGCAAAATTAAAATGCTACTTGACAAGAAACCATGAGAATGGGCAGATGTCTACAAAGGTGACAGAAAATACCCAAATACACAGCTACTTAAAAATAAAACACTTTTCAATATGTCCGTACTGACTTCAGAGAGAGGGAGGGAGAGGGAGAGAGAGATAGAAACATCCATGATGAGAGAGAAGCATGGATCGGCTGCCTCCTGCACGCCCCCTACTGGGGACTGAACCGGTGACCTCTTGGTTTATGGGTCAGCGCTCAACCACTGAGCTGGCGAAATCGGCCCCTTTTGGGAGAAGAAGACCGGGCACATCGCCTGGATTCAAAGGTGAACCAGCTATCGGTGAACGAGGAAGAACAACTATCATTTTCTTGGTGCTGGAGTCGCCCCGCCTCCTGGGTGTGTAAGGACTCACACAGCTGAAGCCCTTCCGCCAACATCGCAGACTCGCCCGGGTTCGAGACCTCTCTGTCGAGACGTGACATGCGCCCCGTGTGTACGCACCGAACTGTTAACCTGCTAACCGACCACAGGAGGTCGTTCAATAGATCGCGAGAACCTTGCAGAACTGATGCCCACGGACTAGTAACTCCCAGCCCTGGCCGGTTTGGCTCAGTGGATGGAGCACCAGCCCTAGACTGAAGGGTCCCGGGTTCGATTCCAGTCAAGGGCAAGTACCTGGGTTGGGCATGTGCGGGAGGCAACCAATGGATGTGTCTCTCTCACATCGATGTCTCTCTCTCTGTGTCTCTCCCCCTCCCTTCCACTCTCTCTCAAATTGAATGGGAAAATATCCTTGGGTGAGGACGAACAAAAAAGAAAAACAGAAACTCCCCATTTTCTCCTCATACTGGGAGATCGAGGGGAAGAGGCAGATGGTGTCACATGACCCTAGGAGCCCCTCGCCATCCGGGTAGGCCACAGGGACCTCTTCCTCCTACGTGACTCCTAGGTGTCCCCATCCATGTCCCCTTTATACACCTCTGACATTCACCTCGCAGAATTACAGTGTTACTCTGTGCCCTGCGTGTGTGTGCATGTGCATGTGTGTGCGTGCGTGTGCACGTTGGTGTAAATTCCTTCCCATCTGGGAACCCAGGGGCAGACGCTAAGTCTTATTCCTGATATGACAGACTCATGGCTTGGCAAATGGGTGCTCACTTCACGGTGGATGTACAAATGGGCGAGGGAGTGAATGGAGGTGCCAGCACCCTGGGGAGCCTTTACCGGCAGACCCCGAGGTGAGGTTCCCCTGCGGCCACGGGGTGGCATCCTGGCCCTCACAGGCCACGCCATCAGAGACCCCCAGCGTGAAAGCAAAGGCCCTTCCAGGCGCGAGGGGGGCCCTGGGGTTGGGACAGTGGGCGCACACACCCCACCGCTCTCCAGGCTTCCTGCTGCTATTTCTGAAGTGGAATCTAAACCATGGACTGGCAGGCGTGGCCTCTGACATCCGTCTCCCTTCCGCATGCCGACCTGTCTGACTAGAACCGTCCGCAAGGACACAGAGAGGGGGAAGTCATGCTCCCCAGAAAGTAGCTGGGTCCGTAGAATTCTCTGACATGGAAGACAGCTCGCGTCTTCGAGGGCTGGTCCTCAATACACGGCTATGTCCTCCTGCCCCACCCCCTGAGCCATCCTCGTGGCCTGGACGCTTGGGCGTGCTGGTCATCTCCCCTGCACCCCCCGGGCCAGGGGACAGTCTGGCATGAGAACTTGTCCCAGAGGCTTCTGCAGGGGCTGGAACCCAGTCAGAAAACTCCAGAGATGAAGCCAGGAAACAAGCTCCCTCCGTTACCATGGAAACAGCAGGAAGAGGACTGGGGGCTGGCTTAGCGAGGACCGGGATGGCCCCCCAGGAAAGCACCGCTTGGCCCCTTCTTAAAAGCATGTTCCACACTCGTTGCTAATCCCCAAAGCAGCTTCCGGCGCGTCCGGGCACGCATGTGCACATCAAGCTCCCCGTGGCTCAGTGGGTGAGCGTCAACCTAGGAACCAGGAGGTCACTGTTTGATTCCCGGTCAAGGGCACAGGCCGGAGGTGCCAGCTCAATCCCCAGTAAGGGGTGTACGGAGGCAGCCGATCCATGACTCTCTCTCATCATGGATGTTTCTGTCTCTCTCTCCCTCTCTGAAATCAATAAAATTATATTTAAAAGAGGAGGAGGAGGAGGAGAGGAGGAGGAGGAGGAGGAGGAGGAGGAGGAGGAGGAGGGGAGGAGGAGGAGGAGGAGGAGGAGGAGGAGGAGGAGGGGAGGAGGAGGAGGAGGAGGAGGAGGAGGAGGAGAAGAATAAGGAGAATAAGAAGGAGAAGGAGAAGGAGAAGAGGGAGGAGAGGAAGGAGAGGAAGAAGGAGAGGAAGAGGAAGAGGGAGAGGAGGAGGAGGAGGAAGAGGAACCGGGCTTTCTCCCACGGTGACCCCGGGTCCGGGAGCCGCCGGGAGCCGGCGGGGGTGCTCACCAGCAGTAGTCCAGCAGGTGCGGCGGCAGCACGGGGATGTAGATGTGCTGCCAGAACATGGGGTAGAGCAGCGCGGCCGATCCGTGCAGGCAGGCAGTCAACTGCGAGATGGAAACGGACAGCCACAGTGAGGAGCAGGCTCCCTCAAACACAACACCATCCCCCCCACACACACCCCCGTTCCCCAAGACGATCGCACATCCCACTGCTCTCGTGACCTCCACCCTATGCCTCTACCAATTCCGCACGCAACATGCCTTCCATTTCGGAAGCGCCCCCTCCCTGAAAACACAGCCTATCAGCAGCTCCAGGAGGTTCTTGGGGGTCTCAGGGAGACCGGTGTCTGAAAATACAGTGTTTGGGGGTCAACACGAAGCCCATGGACACAAAGATCAGGTGGGCGCCGTAGGGGAAACGGTGGGACCCGACGGCTGGGCATGGCTGGGACTCGTGCTCCGCGATGAGACGTGGAGAGGGAGAGGGGGGAGGCTCCGGAGGGAGATCGTTAGGGCAAATTGCCAAAGCGTGAAACACGGGTCCGACAGCCGGGGCTGTGCCGCCCGAACGCCGGGGGACCGGGCTGCTCGACAGTGGACCGCGGGGCGCGGTACCCAGAGACGCTGCTCGCTGACACATGGGATGTCACTATTGACCAGCGCGGGCCGCGCCTGACAGCTGGGCTGCAGGAAGCCAGGAATATCATCATTCCCTCCTTCCTGACGCCTGTTTGGGGGCCCAGCTGCGGATCAAGACAGCTGCCCGGACGTGGCTGCGATTGCAAAGGGAATTGCCATTTTAATTGTTTTGATTTGGCGAGTGGCTAATTAAATCTTTTCAACGCCTCACGTAAAGATACCTCCCCTCTCTAGTCCCCCCTTCTTCTGTCCTATGGACCCGCCGCAGAATTCTTCCCCCGTGATTTTCTGTGCTTTTTAAATTCCATTCCTGTAAGCGGGGAGTCGTCTTTCTCCCCCAGCGTTTACGGCAATAAGTGAATCAGCATGCATCATCGTTTTAAAGGGTTGCTAGGGTCTGCCTTTCAAGGCTACGGAGGAAATCATTTTGCCCAGCTTGAAAATCAGATTTGAGAAATAAAACCACCCGAAAACGGGCCTGAAAACAGACTTTCTATTAGCCATCATTTCTCTTTCATTATAGAGGGGATGAAAATTTTACACACAGTAATCAAATTAATTTAAAAATTAAATGCATACAAAGCAGTTCAGTATTTTCTTATTATTGAATATACCAGGGTGACACTGGTTAATAAGATCATCTAGGTCTCTGGGGTACAAATCTACATCATCATCTGTGTATTGTATTGTGTGTTCACCACCCCCAAGTCGAGTCTCCTTCCATCACCATTGATCCCCCCCTTTCCCCTCTGCTCCCTCCCCCATCCCCGTCCCCTCTCAATTCAATCTCAATAGCAGCACTGTCTATATTCAAGTACCAAGGAGTTCTACAGAATTAAAAAAATTAATTAAGATAACCTCGTCGGGAACCAAAAACATACACATTTTGATTAAAAGCATATTCCTCTTTATCACGTGTGTTCTGTCTTTTGCCAATTAGATTTTTCATTAGTGACATGTGGAAAACGATCGATTTTGGTTCCATTTAGAATAAATGCCATTGACGGGTTTTAGCGCTTCACCCTCGCAAGCCTTCACAGCTCACCGACAGCCGTCTTTCAACCAACACTCGTTCCAAATTCCTTCATCCGAACACGCAATAGGCCACTAGGAGGCATGCAAATGCTTCCATTTAGCGATTGCGGACCATGGACTTCCTTATCTCCCGTATCTGAGCCAGAGGATAATAAAAGCGGGGTTCACCTAGCCAGCGTCGCCTTCCCCGAGAGCTTTCGGGCACTCCCTGGGTGTAAAGCAGGCATCCTCCCGACGGTGCGGACCCTCCTCCCACGGGAAGAGTTAAGGAAAGGCAGCTCTTTTGCTCACTTCCTCCATTTCTCCAGACATGGCTTTGAAAACCCCTCCTTTTACCCCTTGAGAAGGACCGTGGCCCGGGTGTGTGTGGTACACAAACACAATGAACAGGCTAATGGAGGAAGACACACATTCTCAAGGTGGGGAATGTACTCAGGGTCACTTATCTCCCGGGCCACACCCAGAACCCAAAGTCCGCTGGGACACGTCACCTAGATCCGTCCCCGACGCCCCCAGGGGTCATCCTGCATGGACGCTATGAATGAGGCACAAGATTGGACCGGCTTCCAGAAGAATGAGTTCCTAATGCTAAGCAGTCACCACCTCTGACGACGGTCAGCACGTGGGCTCTGTCCCTGACGCTAAGGCAGCGCTAACTCTCCCGACCAATCCTGTCCCTCCACCCCTCTGAGAGCCGAACCAACGAAGGGAAATAAACAACGTGTTTTAGAAGTTTGGTTAGAAGAACAAAGTCCTAGCAGGAAATAAGCTCAGTTTAAAAGCCAGGGAGAGGGAGAAGTTTCTTGCTTTTTAGTTATCCGTGACCTACTGGATCCTGAACCTTCAAGGGTAGCGACAACCACATTTTGGGGCCAGATTACCCGAGGTTCTGCCTGGCTGGTGACGAGGCCAGGAAGCAACCTTACTTTTCCTTTTTTTAAAATATATTTTTATTGATTTCAGAGAGGAAGGGAGAGGGAGAGAGAGAAACACCCATGATGAGAGAGAATCATGGATCAGCTGCCTCCTGGGGATCAAGCCCACAACCTAGGCATGGGCCCTTGACCGGGAATCCAACCGTGACCTCCTGGTGCATAGGTCGACGCTCAACCACTGAGCCACGCCGGCCAGGCCACAGTGCTTTTCTGGTATCTTCCAGCTGCTTCTTTCATCATCCCTGCTGCTTCTCGTGAAGTTCAAAGAGGAACAAATTCACCAAATAACGGTTTAAGAGAAGAAAAAAACCCACCACCACCATTCCTCCCCATCTGGGTCCAGTGGCAAGTGAGTATCTCTCCGCACCTGTAACCCCACAAAGCTCCCTCAAAGTGCTGACTAATGCGAGATCAATCCCGATTCCCCACACACTGCGATTGTAGAGTCAGCACAGGTGGAAGCCATGGGAAGAGACGAGAAGTCCACGGGAGAAACCTGACAACGAAGGTGGGGGACAGTGAACGTGGTCATGCGATAAAGGCACCTGGAACTTCCGGTCCCAGGCCCCCAGGTCGAATGTCACTGACGATAACAATAGCAAACGTCTCCAGGACGCTGACCAGGTGCCGGCACTCTTCTGAGAACCTGACATTCTCACATCTGTTACCACTATTCCCACCGACGGACCAGGGCATGATGGCAAAGGTAGACCAGTTGCCCAAGACCACACACCTCGCAAGCAGCCAAGCCAGGACTCCAGCCCAAGCAGGCGCAATCGAGAACCTTCCTTTCCGACTGCCTTCCCACATACAAAGATCCGAAATGCCCACCCTTCTGAGACCCTGAGTCACATCTACTGACGGAAAACATTTTATCCGAACGACATGACGGAGAGTGAGTCTTTGGGATGGACACCCGGACAAGCATAAGACGAGAGGAGAGTTTTCCAGTCTTAGGAGTTCCCTCAGATGGACCTCCAGCCGTACCTGCCAACAAAGTGCCACCTGACCACCCCAGTGGTGACCTTGAACCAGGAGGTCGCGGTTCGATTCCCGGTCAAGGGCACCTGCCCGGGTTGCGGTCTCGATCCCCAGTGTGGGGCGTGCAGGAGGCAGCGGACCCATGACTCTCTGTCACCCGGTCCTATCTCCAGACCCCTGTCCCTCTCCCTTAGCTCTGAATGGAAATACACATCACACGACACCCTGGGAAGGAGAATTAGCAGGGGCCGCGTCAGCTGACATCACTGGTTGCTACAGGCTTCGGGGAGAATGAAAAATCTAAAATTCCTAGCATCTCCCTCCCTGCGGCGTCTCAATGACGACATGCAACGGCACCCCGCGGCTGCCGCTCGACAAACACGAGGGGGGACGTGCGCTCCGATAATCTTCGCAAAGAAGTGGGCCTGGGTCACGCCTGTTCCCTCGCCAACCGTTCGGTTCCTGATCTCCAGCAAGATGCTCCCAGCTTCGGGGTTCGGGCTCAGTGCCCACACAGGTGCCCCCAGTGACAGACAAGTCACGGATCCTCAAGATCCAGACGGAGAGGGTCAAGTCCCCCCAACTCCCCTGCAGCCCAGCGAAGCCTGTGAAATCCCCACCTTCACGGCCGATTTTCCAGGGATCACAGAGCTTTCTGCTTGCAGATGCCCTGGACGGAATTAGCGCGAGGAGGAGAGAAAGCATATGCCTGGCTGCCCGGGGGCATCTCCCACAAAGGCAGACATTACAGTTTATTAACACGATTCCAGCGCGCGGCACACTGCTCGCCGGGCGTGCTCCCGAAGGGGCGTACGCCCTCGCTCCAATCTCTGGAATTAACGTGCTTACGGGCTTTGGGAGGGAGATGTTTACCAACTGAACGTGGGTCCGGACGGGAGCCCCCGATTAGAGACCGGCTTCAGAGAGGGGCACCCCGCTCCCCCGCTGCAGGCCACGCAGGCCCGCCCTCGTTAGCAGATGACTGACAGCGTGATGGGGAGGCGCTGTCAGAGGCTGGCCGATGGGCCGGCGCCGAGACAAGACGCACAGCCCCGGCCGGCTGCTCAGAGCAGGTCTGAGGGACCGTGACAGACGCGGATGACAGCGCTGCACGCCCGACCGCCTTGAGACGCGGGGACATGACTTTCGACAGCCATGTTCCCGGCTCCGGTCGTAAAGCAGCAAGGAGTCGAGGGATCTACGCGTGTACGATCATGATGGATCCTCTGCTCTGATGTTCTGCAAGCCCCGCCGAGGTGCACCCGCCCCCCCCGCGGGGACATGCCTGTCTGTTGCATGGATGACACCCACGCTCTCCATCAGGGTTTCCAGGACGCCCCGCCCCCAGCCGTGTGTACTTGACAATGGAAGTATCAACAGAATAAACACAGAGGTGTTATGTCCTAGTGTCGTGGTCGGCAAACTGCGGCTCTCGAGCCACATGCGGCTCTTTGGCCCCTTGAGTGTGGCTCTTCCTAAGCCTTAGGAGTACCCTAATTAAGTTAATAACAATGTACCTACCGATATAGTTTAAGCTTAAAAAATTTGGCTCTCAAAAGAAATTTCAATCGCTGTACTGTTGATATTTGGCTCTGTGGACTAATGAGTTTGCCGACCACTGGCCTAGTGCATGAAACTCAAACACATAAAAATATAATAATGGGTCCCAGCAAAACACTACACTTATAATGGGGGGGGGGGGGGGGACACATTAAAATTTCATTTTATTTTATTTTAAGTATGCCTTTATTTATTTCAGAGAGGAAGGGAGAGGAAGCGAGAGATAGAAACATCAATGATGAGAGAGAATCATGAATTGGCTGCCTCCTGCACACCCCACACTGGGGATTGAGCCCACAACCCGGGCCTGTGCCCTGACCGGGAATCGAACCTTGGCCTCCTGGTTCATAGGTCGATTCTCAACCACTGAGCCACGCCGGCCGGGCCATAACAACACTCTTAATATTTTTGCTACCATATCTCAGAACTAGATTTTTTATGTTAAAGTTCATCTCTATAAAGATGATGAAAAAGTACAATCTTAACTACAAACAATAGGTAAAGAAAGCAGAGCCTTGAGTAACTGAATTCTCTAAATTCAGTTACTAAAACCCCCAGCAGCGCTACAACCCCCAGCAAGCTATAAGGCGGACAAGCGTGATTAGAATAAAATTATGAACGTCAAAAGGGTAAAAACGCAAACACAATTCCTCAAACGACAATTAGATAGTGAATGTAAATACACCTTAACTCATATGTGTTCTTTCGAGAATTAAAATTTTGGCTGTAGGTTTTTAGAACGAGTGCAACAATTCATGGCGTTAAGATGAAGTGCATTCTAGTCTTTATGGCATAGAAAGAAATATAAGACTCTGAAAAGCTTTACAGCAAATCAGTTCACGGACACTTTACTCTTTCCTTGGATGTCTCCGAGGTCTCACTCAATTCTTTCTAAAGTCAGTTCCTTCCGAATGTACGTATGATCCTGGTCTCTGACATTAAGTGTTACCGTGCGTAGGATTCGTGGCAGATCTAGACATGAATTTCCAAGAGAGAGAGACCCAGGTATAGCAGCTTCCCCCACATAAGACGGTAGCAGATCCTGACCGCGAACTTGATCTGTGTGTCTGTGATCAGCCCTACGCCCCAGAGAGGGAACTTAGGGATGGCACTGCCATGGAGCTTTCTCGAACGGCCATAAACCATCGGCATTGGGTTTAGTACCTCGAGCATGGGGAGCAACTCCCTGAGCGAGACCACGCCTTTAGTAAAACAACTTATTTTTTTTAACTCAGATAAAGTTAAAGGGCGGGTCTGTTACTCTTTAAACTGCATTTATCTAGTCCCTTAGAAAATTATAGCTGACAATCATTGAAGAATCATTGGGTCTTATGTAGATAGGATTCTTAGCACTTCACCTGTATGGATATGTATGCATATGTATGTATATATGTGTATGTATATGTGTGTGCATATGGGCATGTGTGTATGTGTGTGTGTACATGTTCAAAAAAGGATGAGGATGAAGAGAAGAGGGAGAAGAAAGAAGACTGGTTTTACCTCAGTGGGCAATTTAAAAAATGGCAGAAAAGCAAATTTATAACGATTCAGACTGAATTGCTCGATAGTGCTTTAAGAAAATGCAAGATATCACCTTTGTCACCGCCTGTTGCATCCTCCACGCTTCCCCCTTTAAGTGCAAGTGGTGTGTCTTTCAAGATGTAAAATAATATATCTCCAATTTTTTTGAAAAAGTGAGCATATCGATATTTCAATTCAAAAATCTGAAAACCGTGGTTTTTCAATTATAGAGTCAGGAGAACAACCCAAAATTAGAAGCAGAAAACCCAGGACCACATGACCTGTCTCCGGTGAGCTCTGGGGCCTATGGGTGGGCATGTAGCCTCTCTGATACCACCTCTCCCGCCATTCAACACGAAACCGACCTCCTAGAGAGATCCTGAAACTCTCTCTGCTCGAAAATACCAAACTTCGTCGTTTCTATTTCTACGACCAAACGAAACATGTATACGTTACCTTCTTTTTACCAGCTACCCAAATGCTTAAGACAGCAAACCCGTGCCATCTTAAATGATGGGTTTTAATAAATATCTCACATATTATGCTAAATATCTAGTTAAGTGGATATTTACATTTTTTAAGTCAATCAAAAATATTAAAAATTGCAATATCGAAAGCAGGAAAAAAAATAAACAGGAAATGTAGCAAAAGACTTGTGACTCTTTTTCTACGGCCCAAAGACACTCCGATTCTCACCGCCTTCGCCGTGTTGATCAAGAGCTCCCATAGCCCGTTTCAGGGAGCAGCGGACGACGTGTGATTAATAAAAAAAAAAAAAAAAAATGCTGCTTTGACTTTTAAGTTATTATCCGTCTGAAGAGCTCCTCCAAGTCACAACTCCTATAGAACCTTCCAGCAAACCCGCGCTTGGCAACAAAGAGGCACCCACCTACTGCCCGGTTGGGAGAGCGGCTATTCTCCTGGGCCCCGGGTCCCTTTCAGGCAAGCGCCCGGGGAACAAGCCACAAGTGCATAATCACCCTCTCATAATAGCTCTTCAGAATTCTTCCTCTGGCAGAAGGCAGTCAAATGAACCCGGGAGAGTTAACAAGAAAAACGGAGGGGGGAGGAAAAGAAAAAAAACAACAACAAAAACGCAACTCTCATCTCCCGGATCAGAAAAAAAATAATTAACCCGACTTAATGCATCGCAGGCCGCCTCCCATAAATCAGACTTTTGTCCTTCAAGAGCCGCGGGACGACCACTTATCAGACACGGGGGCCGCGGATATTGTCTCCGGGGACACGGGGAACCTGTCCGAGTCCGCAGAGGCGCACGGCCTCTTTGTGATGCAGGGATGCAGGGGGGGCCCTTTGTGATGCGCACCACGCGGTTGCTAGGAGACGGGGCGGTACTCACGGTGCTGAGCTTGCTGGAGGTGATGAGGATGCGCCGCTCGTGCAGCATGCTGGCGTACAGCTGCAGCATGTTGCTCACGTCCACGGCCACGAAGTACTCGGTGAGGTTCCTCTGCGCGCGAGAAAAACCACGGTGTGCGCGTCAGGGCGCGTGGGGATGACCGAGGAACACGTCTGACACAGTTAATGGTCTTTTTAAAAAATATATATATGTGTTTTTTTCATTGACTTTTTTAGAGAGAGGGTCAGGGAGAGGGAAAGGGAGAGGGAGATAGAAACATGTTTGAGAGAGAAGCGTCATCTATCGGCTGCCTCCTGCACGCACCCCCTACTGGGGATCGAGCCGAAACCCGGGCATGTGCCCTGACTGGGGTGGTTCATGGGTCGATGCTCAACCACTGAGCTATACCAGCTGGGCACGTACCTGGGTTGCAGGTTCAATTCAGGGCCCCAGTCAAGGTGTGTGCGGGAGGCAACCGGTCAATGTGTCTCTCTCGCACAGATGTTTCTCCATCTTCCTCTCCCTCTTCCTCTCTGTCAACCAATCAGTGTCTCTCTCACCTAGATGTTTCTCCCTCTACCTCTCCCTCTCTCAACCAATCAATGTGTCTCTCTCACATAGATGTTTCTCTCTCTCCTTCTCTCCCCCCCCCTTCCTCCCTCCCACCCTCTCTTCCACGCTCTCTAAAAATCAATAGGGAAAAAAATATATCCTCTGGCGAGGATTAACAAAAAATAAATAAAATGAAATGAAAACTCTGAAGGGAAGGGTCCAGGGTCATATCAGTCAAGGCATGGGGGGTCAGCTGCCAGGAGGACAGAGCAGGGCGGCCCCGCCCAGCGGGAGCAGCACATGGACTTGAGGCCTGTGAGGTGCCCTGAGCGTCTGGGTGGCCCCCCTCAGGCCCACAGTCAGAGCCGCAAGCGGAGACCTGCCCCAGGAGCTCTCTGGACGCGTCTGCACTGGCAGCACCATCCACACACCGTCTGGGTTCGACACGAGGAAATTCACAACTGATTTCTTGGGCTTATTCACGCGTCACGCGTGTGCTTTTCGGACACAAACCACTCAGGAGCTTTGGAAACATGTTTGGAGGAGGAGTGGAATTCCGAGGAAATAGTAAATAATCCGGGAAGCGTTTTTTTCCCGTTGCGGTTTCCCTCACGTGCAATCGAGTTGTTTCTCCCGGTTCATTTTATCTTCCCAAGGGGAGCAGACCAGAAATCACGCAGGAAAAATACTCCCGTTCCACGCCTCGTCCAAAGGCATCTTTCCGCTGACACCTACCCATGTACACTTTCCTACGCAGTATTAACTGGGTATAAATATTAAAGCACTAAGAATGTTTCTAATATTGCCCTACCCGGTGTGGCTCAGTGGATAGAGCATCAGCCTGCGGACTCAAGGGTCCCAGGTTCGATTCCGGTCAAGGGCATGTACCTTGGTTGCGGGCACATACCCAGTAGGGGCTGTGCAGGAGGCGGCTGATTGATGTTTTTCTCTCATCGATGTTTCTAACTCTCTATCCGTCTCCCTTCCTCTCTGTAAAAAATCAATAAAATATATATTTTTTTAAAAAAAGAATATTTCAAATATTGGCTACAACCAATTGGGGCTTAGCAAAATGCAAAACTTAGCAACTTTTATAATTTCTTGTTAATACCCCTCAGGCCTTACAAAGTAATGCTATCGCTTCAGTGAGAATCCAGAACTCAGGCACGAGACACCCAGGAGCTGAACGGAGATAGAAGCAGGGATCTCAGATGCTCCGGTCAGTTCACGGAGGTGGCTATTTGTGCGGAAATATTTCCCACTGCGGTAGCCATGCCCCACCCATAGAAGTCATCCCAAGAGAAACCTCCCCTCCCTGATCCTCACTGAAATATATGATCCCCTGAACTATCTCAATGGATGGAAATACTGGCTCTCACACCATTCTCCTAGCCACACCCTGATATTCAGAAGGGGGTAAAGTAGCAGGAACATAAAGAAGAGAGAGAGAGAGAGAGAGAGAGAGAGAGAGAGAGAGAGAGAGAGAGAGAGAGAGAATGAACCATGTTACTCTGTATTTCTTCATTATTTCTCAGAACCACAGATAGTTACTATATCTTCTATGTCTTTACACGGGGATCCTTCAACAGGGAGGCCGAAGGAAAGGAAACCCACACAGGGAATAGAATAAAAAACAAAAGCAGCAATCAACTTACACTCTCGGGGATGGTTGGGAGTCCGGTTACGTCGGGGGCGATGAAGTAGGAGTGCTAATGGGTAGAAGGAAGCACACGGAAGAGAGGAGGGTTACGACTGGGCAGCATCGCATACCACGTGGGGTGAAAAGCAGAAAAACTACAGCAACCGAGTCTGTAGATACCGAGGACCAATGCTCAGGATTTGTTGAATTTGAGAGATTATGTCCATGAGGTTTAAAGGCGCTTCAACAATCACTTTCTCATATAAAGAACTAAGTCTGGGCCCTAGTAGCCAGTGTGGCTCAGTGGATAGAGCGTCGGCCTGCGGACTGAAGGGTCCCAGGTTCGATTCCGGTCAAGGGCATGTGCCTGGGTTGCGGGCATATCCCCAGTGGGGGGTGTGCAGGAGGCAGCTGATCGATGTTTCTCTCTCATCGATGTTTCTAACTCTCTATCCCTCTCCCTTCCTCTCTGTAAAAAAATCAATAAAATATATTTAAAAAAAAAAAAAAAAAGAACTAAGTGTTGTTGGCCCTAGCTGGTTTGGCTCAGTGGGTAGAGCATCGGCCTGTGGACTGAAGGGTCCTGGGTTCGATTCCCGGTTAGAGCACATGCCCGGGTTGTGGGCTCAATCCCCAGTAGGGGGCGTGCAGGAAGCAGCCGATCCGTGATTCTCATCATGGATGTTTGTCTCTCGCTCTCTCCCTCTCCCTTTCTCTCTGAAATCAATAAATTTTTTTAAAAAAATTAAGTGTTGGTTGAAAATATTGAATTTTACAAAGTCCTAAAAACAGTTGAGAACAAAAAGCATATCACTGTAAGGTAGATATCTCTTCATTTTTGTGTATACTTATGCTATATATTTATGTATTTAAAAACACGTTTAGTTTAGGGAGACGGCACAAGAAGGCTTGCTTCCCCAAAAAAGATATCAAAATCTAAGATTTCCTATGGACAGCCACAACAGGTATCTCTGGGACATATCCGTCGCTGTACGATTTAGAACGCGGCAATCAAACAATATTTCGGCCTTTAAAACTTCTTAAAAATACAGTGACTCGTCTCACAATGTTGTGGCCTTCATACATCCCCTCAACGAATACGAATTAGCTTCGATACCTGAAGCAACACCACAGGTCTCAGACGGATCTGGATAAAACGCACACCGTGTGTGCCGGCCCGTCCCCCACCCCACATCTACCACCCAGAATCAGAGTCCCAGGGAATCACCAGAATTGTTTTATTTTCTGTTCATAGCGATCTCCAACATCACTTTACTGCCTTCATCACAGAAGGACATATTTAATACTGTTTTAGGATTAAAGATGGGGGTGGGGGGGAGCCATTCGAGCCAATACTAAGCTCCGCTGAACTAGCGAGACAAGGCTAGTTCCCACAGTCCATGTATATATAATTTTCCAGGGTGGGAGAAGAAGATGAGAGAGACCGCAAGGCCTCCAGGGACCTTGTGACCAAAAAAAAAAAAAAAAAAAAGGGACAGAACTCTCACTCCTAAAATGCGCTTCACCATCACTACTTCTGACGACGGAGAATATGCGTGGATTTGGTCTCTATTCGCTGCTTTTACTTAGAGGGGTTTTCAAAAGAACTGAATTTCACACGACTGGGCTTTAAAAGGGAGTATAAACAGAAAATATATCCCACGTGATTAATTTCCTTCCGAGAGACCCATTCCCCATTTCCCACAGACGGGAGTGAATCGTAAAGACACAGTGGAAGGATTCTTTTCCCAATTTGATAGTGATTGTGAGAAGTTGGTGCCCTTGGAACTCACCGGTGCTAGGGAGGGCTGATCTCTCAGAACTTGCTCACTGGCAATAAATATCTCTTGGTTCTTATGATATATGAGAGAGAAAAAAATGAATATTTTTACTTTCAAGGGGGAAGTCTGCACCACCACTGGCTGTCTCGCCGAGACAAACCCGCGTAGCCACACTGTCCACGGAAAACATGTGAAGGGCACTGATGATAAACGTGATTTTAAATGCAGATCTGCTCATGGTATGTTAGGATAATCTGAAAGGACGTATTTTCATTCTCCCCTGAGAGCAGAGAACGCTATGGGGAGGTAACGATTCTGAAAGACGTTTCAAAATAACCATTTACATGAAATATTCCATTTTCACAGCCTCGCTGCGATATTCTAGCGGCCGTAACATCAAGTCTTGAAGAACCCATGTGCTGGGACATGGAGATTGTAAGAAATAGGAGATTGTAAGAGAATCAGAGTGCCTTCTCTAGAGTTGTCACATTTTTCTAACGGAAATTCTGGAAACAAAACAAAAATTTCTTTCCATTTGAGGGAGGAACAAAATTCCTAACTCATAAAGCTAGAACGGCTACCAGTAGTTCAAAGTAAGTGATTCAATCGCAACTTTTGCCCCTCGTTAACAGCACGGGACTGGGCGCGTGACTCGTCACCTGCTCTGAAATCAAATGAAATTTCAAAATAAGCTTTACGCAGAGTTAAGGCCATATTTCATTCACCTGCTGAATGTACCAACACTTAAGATATTGTATTGAGAATAGGTGCACAAGATTTGAAAGCTATCAGAGACTACTGATTCAAAATTTTACGAAAAGGAAAAAAAAAAAACCCACTGATTTAACAACTACCAAGATACACATCCAACGTATTAGGTTAGGATAGTTAGAGCAGGTCCAAAAGTCTCGCTGTCCTAAGTCTCACCGTGATGTCTGTCCTAGCACTGACGCTTTCCTGGGAGCAGAGGTGAGTGTAGGATGAAGTTTCCTAAAGGTGCGTGTGTTCTTAAATGAGATGCATCTATATCGCCCACAAATCAATTCACTGACTGCGTACTTACCACACTCAGATTGACAGGGCTGTTTGCCTTGGGGACTGGGTGGTTATAGAGCGCTGTGAGAGTTGCATTCAAATCATTTTCCTACAGTCAACAAAGAGGTAAATTTTATAAATCAAATATATATTGAGCAAATATGATGAAAAGGATTTGATAAAGTCAGGCACCGTGCCTTCTCATGTTAGGCTGGCTCTGTACAACTGTTTTCCGCAGAAATGCTCTAAATACCCAAAATTCAAATATTTCAATCTAATCTGGAAAAGACATTCCTATGGCTTTATCCAGAAAGAATAACATCAATCCTTATATTTAGTATAAATATATATTTGGCAGCATTTAATTCTTATAAAATAGACTGTTATCTAAGGAAAGAAATTATTTAAAGCATTAAATCCAAGAACAAGGGAACGGCATAAAAACAGCAATACAATCCATCAGATATTAAAAGCTTCCACCTCCTATTTTAATTTTAAAATCTCAAACCTAATTTTTTAAGGACTAAGTATAACTGAAGTAAGATGTCATACTAAGATCCAACACAGAGGTTATCCTAAATATTTCTTTTCTAAGTAGCAACTGGTCACTACCCGACCCACAAAAGAAAAAGGAATTAAATAAACTATATAACAGATCTACCTCCTAGATTTTTGTAATTAAAATGTATCTTGATGTGCCCACTTACTCTTTCTGAATTACTCATGCAAATCCAGTAATAGATATAGGAAGGCAGCTTTTTAAATATATAGTTATTTTTATTCTCTCTTAAAATGTTTAGGGTGGGAGAATAAACGAAAGGAAAGGCAATTCTTCAAGGACAGTAACAACTAATTTTGAGGGATGTGGACGCGAGACACGACTTCTCACAGGGTTTCTTTCAACTTGGCCATCAAATTTAATTCGGATCACTATGAACATCTGCAAAAGCGTGCACTCCCAACTGCCTATCTGAAATTCTCTTTAGAACGACCGAAAAAGAAGACAACAAAGACTTTATCCCTTTACCATTTCAACAATGAAATATACCACGGAATATTCCGGATGATATCGATGCTCTGGCTATATAAAGCTCCTATGGCCACATGAATTTTGTAAAAGTCCAGCTTTTAAAAATCCTTGGTACCTGCCCACTGTAGGTTGCGTAAGGATAACTTGAATTATAAAATCTAAATATCCGTCTAAATAACCCATGGGACTCGATTAAAAATAAAAATTAAAGATTTCCTCTGGTTACTCATACCGTGAACTGATAATATTTTTCCTCTCATAAAGAACACAAGTGTAGTCTTATGTCCTCTTCTCAGAAAACCAAAATTATACGGATTACACAATTCTTCAAAAAAATTAAATATGAATTTCCGTATTACTCAGCAGTTCTACTTCTGAGTATATTCTCAAAAGAGCTGAATGCAGGGACTCAAACATGTATTTGCACACCCATGCACATAGCAGCCTTGTTGACCATAGCCAACAGGTGAACAAACACAACTGTTCACCTACAGATGAATGGACAAGCAAAATGTGGTCTGTGCGTACAGTGGGATAGTATTTAGTATTAAAAGGAAAGAAACTCTGCCTGGCCAGCATGGCTCCATGGTTGAGCATCGACCTATGAACCAGGAGGTCACGGTTCGATTCCCGGTCAGGGCACAGGCCCGGGTTGCGGGCTCGATCCCCAGTGTGGGGCGTGCAGGAGGCAGCCAATCCATGATTCTCCCTCATCATTGATGTTTCTATCTCTCTCTCTCCCTTCATCTCTGAAATCAGTAAAAATATATTTTCTTAGGAAAGAAATTCTGACATAGGTTAACCATTGGATGAACCATGAAAACGTGAGTAGTGACATAAGCCAGGCACAGAAGGACAAAGATTGTCTGAGTCTAGTTATGTGAGGCACAGAGTCACATGTGGCCCATGGGAGCCGTGCATGTCCCAGTGGAGTGTTCACCGTGGGCGACATAAACACAATGGCTGCTGCCAGGGGCATCGGGGAGGGGAATGGGAAGTGATGATAGGGTGGGTGGCTGTAGAACAGTGTGAATGCACTTAATGACACAGAACTGCACCCTGAAAACTGGTTTAAAACAGTGCATTTTATGTCATATGTATTTTACCTCAATAAAAAAGTGGGGGGGCGGGGGGACATTGCTTACCTGTTCCTTAGCCAAGTAATCCGCCAGCGTATTCAGAAGCTTGTAATAGACTTCAAACCACGGCAGGTAGCTGCAATAATAATAATAATAATAATAACTGAAAAATGTCTGTGTTATTTAGAATCAAGGAACAAGATGAGCAAATGAACATTAAATTGATAGTATTTCAAACCGTTCGATCCCGGAAGGCAGGAACGCACTAAACCTGTGTTCCCTGACTGTTACAGGGAAACGGAATATTATCTGTTATTCGTTTTCATAACATGGTCAGAATCCAAAGCTTTGTCTGTAACTCCTATCAGCTCACCTTGCTGGGGCAAGAACTGTTATTCTCACGCTTTTATTTTTGTGGCCTCTTAGAAAATTTCCAAACAATACACGTTCCACGCAATTCATCTGTAAGTCATGGTTAAGCGCTTAAGCGGATTATCAGTAAGTTAAGATACTTTCCCACTAAATTTTTGTCCCAAACACCATCAAAACCTAGCTCTTGCCACCAACCCCAAAGATCCTAGGGGGGAAAAAAAAAAGTTTTTAAATGTATTCCATATCTAATGTGGACTGAACGAGGGGTTTCACTCAAGGCTTTTATAAGACGAAAAATGTCACTTCTTTAACAGAGCATCCGTGACGCTCATAGCCTTGTAGCGTCTACAGACATAAACCAAACACCTGAGGACCAATTCTTTTAAAGCAAAAGGCAGGAGACGCTTCAAAAGTTCGTTATAAGATTAGTTCCTTCACTTTTTGTAGAGGCCTCGGCAGAGGGCAGATGTACAGGGAGAACCCCGAGTCCATGTCTGCGGCCGGAGGAAGACCACCCCCCCCCACACACACACACACACACACACACGGCTTCCACCCCCGAGCTGATAAAACTTTTACATTCCCAGGTCAAAGGCTAAATCAAGGGAAGGAAGTGTTTTGTGTCAAGTGGTCCGGGAACCGCCAAGCGTCGCAGGGACCTGACGCGGGGGCATCAAATAAAACTGAGGAAACGGCCTTTCCTAGCGGAACGTCTCATGTCCAGGGGCTGCTTTTTTTCTATCTGGGAAATCGACACAAAATGTGTAAAATTGGAACATTCTGCTTCCAAGGGATGTGCCCAGAGGAAGAGTGTGAAAGCTCCAAGTGTGGTATGAGTTAAGGCTTGGGGGCGGGGAGGGGGGAGGTGGGGGGGGGGGGTAGGCGATACTACAAAGGCCTCAGCACCAATCCGTCTTCCTGACGAGGGCACTTCCCTCTGAACCTCGGCGACAATTTTATAGTCGTAAAAGCATGTTAATCCCGTTAGGAAAAGATGTCATTTCGGGCATTTTTTTTTTTTTCCGGCCGGCATATGAAAGCAATTATGACTATAAACAATGGGCGAAGACTTAAATGAGTCGCGTCTTCGGGTATTTCTGAGGTCTCGTTCAACGAGTGTTAGACGTGTCGTAGAAAAAGCCGGAGATACCACTGGGGCTGAAAACTCAAAATTCAATATCCACGTTTATAGAAATAAACTGAAATCCTAATATTTCTGCTAAAAAGTGGACAAATCACCTCGATTTACTTTCAAGTCCCATCATAACATAAAATCCAGGAGAGAGAGAGAGAATAAAACCCTCCTTTTTATAGCATCGTGGGCCAATTCTCTTGCTTGGAACTCGAAGGTGAATTCAAGTTGCTTTTACGTCTTAGAAGAGCATCATCCAGGGATGCAGAAAAGAGGCTGTGAACATTTTGTGCACGTTTTCTGGCTCAGAAATGTAAGGAACAGAATAAGGCATGTATGTGAGTGTACGGGGGGGCGGGGGGAGAGAAGGGAAAAAGAGAGAAACTTGGTTATAAACGTGAATCGAGAGGATGTGTATATGAGCCCATTGTACACGTCTCGAAGCTTTCCTGTGCATTTGATTTTTTTTTTTTTAATGAAAAGATTTAAAAATTCGCAGAAGAAAATCAGGGAGCCCATACATCTCTGGTCTTTCTACGAGGGCACACCTGGGTCGGGAGAGCGCCTGAGGGGAGACTCCCCTTCAAACTCCAGCCTCTGAACTTCCATCGTGAAGCAAAATGATAGAAGGAGCCGTCCCCACCCGCCTCCCACACGGACACTGCCCACCCCCAGCGCCCAACCGACTGGCTTCAAATCAGGAGAACCGACCCGCCGTTGGCAGCATCGCACCTTCTGGCTAAAACATGCATTTTCCGGACGATCGTTATCCCGGTGAGAATGTGGTGCCTAAAGACAGCATGGAGGCAAACTCACAGCGGACATCGACTCTGTGCCGACATGTCCTTTGCAAATATTTTTAGTTACTAAACGTTATTTCTTTTCCTATGCGCATTTCCACAGACTCTGGTTTGGCCCATGTCCATTTTTTTTAAAAATATATTTTTATTGATTTCAGAGAGAAAGGGAGAGGCAGAGGGGGAGAGGAGAGGGGGAGGGAGGGGGAGAGGGAGAGGGAGGGAGGGGGAGGGGGAGGGGAGGGGGAGGGGGAGGGGGAGAGGGAGGGGGAGGGGGAGGGGGAGAAACATCCATGATGAGAGAGATTCATTTTTCCCCCCCAAGGGCTCACCTGAGGATGCATAAGCAGATCCTGCCGCCGGAGGTGAGTCTGCAGAAGCCAAATCTCTGCTTGCTTTCGATGTCCGTCAGCACGAAGGCGAAGTGCTGCCCCACTTGGTTCTGAGACACCCTGGAACACAGCACAGCCCGCAACTCAGCCTTGGGCAAGAACGGCCACATAGAAAAGCAAGGGCATGCCCTGGCTGGTGTGGCTCAGTGGCTAGAGCGTCGGCCTGCACACTGAAGGGTCCCAGGTTTGATTCTGGTCAAGGGCATGTACCTGGGTTGCAGGCACATCCCCAGTGGGGGGCGTGCAGGAGGCAGCTGATCGATGTTTCTCTCTCATCGATGTTTCTAACTCTCTATCCCTCTCCCTTCATCTCTGTAAAAAATCAATAAAATATATTTTTTTAAAAAAAGAAAAAAGAAAAGCCAGGGCAAGAGCATAGGTGTGTGTGGCGTCGGCTTCTCCTGTTCTATGAGTTGGTTCTTCGAGCCAGAACCACGTGCCAGAACCAAAATGAGTGTCAAACGCGTGAGCTGGAACTGAATCATGCGCCAACTCTCCAAGTCGGCTGTGACACCTTCCAGGCCAAGCAACCCCGCACGTGCTAACGCCTTCCCAGGGACGCCTCAGGACACGTGTGCGTGGGCAGCTTTTAATAATTTTCACCCCTGGAGAAACGCCCAAGGCTCACAGCACCCCTCCCAGTCCTCTTCCTCGATCGTGTCCTGGCGATTCGTGTGAAAACTGTGCCGTTGGCAGGCACATTAGTTCCCCCGAAAGGAGGTAACGCAAGGCTGTCACCAGCATCGATTATTAGCATCCCTTAGCCCATCTCTCCGAATCGTGTCTTCAGTGTTGTCAAAGGCCCGGCCGCCTGGCTCAGTGGTTGAGCGCCGACCTAGGAACCAGAAGGTCGGGTTCGATTCCTGGTCAGGGCACAGGCCCGGGTTGTGGGCTCCATCCCCAGTCTGGGGCGTGCAGGAGGCAGCCGATCCCTGATCCTCTCTCATCATTGATGTTTCTCTCTCTCTCTGCCTCTCCTTTCTGCTCTCTGACATCAATAAAAACATATTTAAAATATATATATATATAGTAAAAGTTTAGGTTTTTACTCATCCTGAGCGAAATATTTTCCTAAAATACATTTTTGTTTAGAATCCTCTCCTACCAGGTTCTTAAAAAAAAAAAAAAAAAAAAAAGCATACCACTGATAATAGGGTGTGAAACCCCCATGAAAAACAATCAATGATCTGCTATTGTGCTCAAAGGGCCGGGCACCCTGCGACATTCCCACGGCACCCAGGGATGTACCCAGCACAATACACACGGGCGTGAGACTTTCAGACGCGCCCGGAGAGCTCCCCGTGGCACCCCATGGACGGGGCCCTGTTTCTACAGAGCTCTTCTCAGGAGGGACAACTAGCGGCCAGGTTCACAGCATCACACAGACGGCCCTTTCAATCATGGGGGCAGAGACAGAAGCCGGGACGTGTCCGTCCAGTTTTAAAAGACGCCCTTCTAAGGCTCTGATAAGGTCTGATTAAGACTGTGCCCCTGAAGCACAAAAGGGAGAAATGGAACCCTCAGACGTGTCCTAACCGGCCACAGGGGAGGAGACGAAAGGTCTCGGGGATGGAAAGCCTTCCTCCTTCCAGGTATGGCTTCATGTTGAGCCAACCGTCTGTTGCTGTTGTTGGAGGCGATAAAGAGAAAGGACATTTCATTTCATTTTTATTTTTAAATGTAATCGTTTCTACGTCCTCACTGAGCCGGGTAAAGGGACTTCAGCGATGGCTCAGACGTACCTTTCGACGTCGAAGGGGAAACAGAACTTGGGCACGCTCTTCAGGACTTCCTGCGAAGGCCAATCGGAAAAACAAACAAACAAAAAAAAAGCTTTAGGATGTGTATAAAGACGCAGTTAAACCTTTTCTGAGACATCGCGGGGGGGGGGGGGGGGGGGCGGGGAGTGGAGGGGGAAAAACGTAAAATAAAAGGGTTCATTTCTTAAGCAGAACGGCCCAGGTTGGGCGACGACCTAATTGATTATTAAGAAGGAAGGAGGGGGGTGTGAGGGCAGATTGCAGGGACAATGGCCCGGGGCGAGGCGGCAGAGAGGTCTGGCCTGAAGGGTATTAACACCCTTCACATCCCCGCTGCGGTCCCCTCAACAAGGCCATATGGATTTTACAAGAAGCGCCCGCGCCATATGGGGAGGCTACTGGTCCCACAGACCAGCCACGGGGACTTCTGACAGGTCCTGGCGCAGAAATAGAAATGTTGTTTCAATTAAAATGCAGGCGGGGCCGGGGGGGAGCAGAATGAATTACTGGGAGGTAGGGCCGCCTGTCCCACAGGAGAGCGGTTTAGGGAGAGACTTTGCAGCCAAAGAAACACGCTGATGGGACCCTGGGAAACTCGGCGGCAGGCGCCCCGAGTTATATCTCGAATGAAACCCTCCCATGTCTGTCTAAAACCCAGCCTTTCCGCCTAAAGCAGCACAGCTTCAAGGCGGCCCCTGTGAAAACCAAGGTTCGCAATAAGCGTAGAGAGCGGCCTGATTCAGGCCGGACCCTGCCGTGAGCTTCCATTCGTTCTAAAATAATGTTCCAGGCGCTCAGAAATCACACACGCACACGCAGTGAAAACAGAATGCAAATATTTAAATGCTCGGCCGTTCGGCCCCAAATAGGAAAAAAGGCCTGTTTTTGTCACTTCTGAAAACCAGCTTCAGATGAAGTCTGAGTCCTTCGCTTAAACTTCCGAATGGAAGAGAGAACATCTGACAAGTTCGAAGCCAGGGGGTGTTGCAAGAGATTCGTGAGCCTTTTCCTGTTAAAAAAGGGCCAATATCTTCATGCAGTAGCCACAGCCCCTGCACCCCCCAAAATACCTTCCCTGTGACCTCTTTACCCTTAAAACCTACACCCCGAGAAACCATCCATCTCTCAGCAGCTAAACCCTATACCGAACTGGGGAGAGCGTGTTCTAAAGTAGAACCTCTCACGTTCTGTTAAAATGTGGAGGGCGGTCGGGTTCCCATGAGAAACAAAACATTGTGAAACCCCAACGCTGGGGCCTAAGAGAGCTCCCAGCACCCCGGTCCCCGGCCCAGAGAAGAGCATCCGGTAGAATATCAGCCTCTGTCCTCAGGGCAGGGCCCCTGGCCCGGCAGGAAGGTGGGCCTGGGAAAGCGGGACCCGCATCTAGGGGAAGCGAACAGTTTTACTCCTGGCAACGTTCTGTCAAGTGCAATGAGAAGCGCGGCTAACCTGAAACCATTTAAGTGACTGAGCCGGAACCCGGATCGTGGTCAATGAGAGCAGTTCAGGGGGCCCTCGTGCATCCTCAGTTTGTGCTGTGACAGTGAAGCCACTGACCACACTTACTGCCCCGTGAACACCATCGATCGAGACCCTTCCCTGCAAAAGGGCCCTATCATTTCTGGGAAGATAGGTAGGTAGATAGAGAGATAGATGATAGATAGATTAAAAGAAAATAGATAATGACAGATGATAGATAGAAAAATAGATTGATAGAAAAATAGACGGTAGATAGAAAAATAGGTAGATAGATGATAGATAGATAGATAGATAGATAGACAGAAAAATAGCTAGATTATAGATAGATAGACAGACAGACAGTAGATAGAAAAATAGATGATAGATGATAGATAGGTATAGATAGATAGAAAAATAGATAGAAAGAGATAGATGGTAGAAAAATAGATAGATAGATAGATACATAGATAGAAAAATAGATAGATGATAGATAGATAAGATAAGATAGGTAAGATAGATTAGATAGAGGATAGATAGATAGAGGATGGATAGATAGATGACAGATACAAATTCACTGTCTGCTTCCAAATATACCAAAATTAGGAATCAATTTCACATCCATTTTTTTTTTCACATCAATTTTAAGGCTCAAATTAAGAAGGTTCTCCCCTTAGAGGTTTCATCTTTCACACCCACCCCCCTCCTTCCACCAGCAACTCTCTCTCTCTCTCTCACACACACACACACACACACACACACACACGCACACACACAGGCACACACAGGCACACACACGCAGGCCCTGCTGCAACGCAGCCTCAGCTCGCTTCCCAACTGGCAGAAGCGCGCCTCGGGGGACAAGCCTTTAAACCTCGGCGCTCTTTAAAATTCAACCAGCCAGCAGGCCCCCGGCCCAGCGCATAAACAGCCCAGACAAAAAAAGCCCCTCTCGGCTCCTGTCGGTGACAAAGCCGCCCAGCAGTGGCCTGTGTCTCCCTTGACAGGGGAAGCCGGGCTCACACAGATCAATAGATGGGAGTCCTCCCTAGCTCCCTGGGCTCCTGTTTCTGCCTTAATTACAGGTGCTATTCACACTGAAGTTAAAAAAAAAACGAGGGGGGGGGGGAGAAGGGAAGGGAGAGGAGAGAGAGGGAGAAAAAGGTAGAGGGAGGGAGAAATAAGACACATGCAATTCGTTTTGGGGGATGCTTATTACAATACTGTTCATTAAAAGTTGTACTTCTGCGTTGATTGGAAGTGTTCATACAGCCTGATCTTTCCACCCCACAGTGTTTTGGGTCACACACACACACACACACACACACACACACACTTCCAGGCCGGCACCCACAGGTGATGTAAAGGTTTAAGGTAATACTCTTCAAACGTTAGTTTCTCCCTGTTTTCTACAGGATTTTGTTTGGTTATTGTTGAGTTTTTTTGGTTTTTTTTTACAAAACACCCAATTTCCTTAACCGAGAAAAACGATTTGGGTTTGCAAAATCCTCTTAGCTCTCTGGACTATTTTATTTTTATGCAGAAAGAACGCATGGACGACGTGAAAAATCAAGCTACCGAAAAGGAGGAAAGGGAACGTCCGTTATGAACAAACAGCAAAATGGAACGGGCAGTGCCACGTCTACCGGCACGCACCCCACAAACAACACCCCCACGATCGGGTAAGCGAGCGCAGGGCTGACAGAGAGCAAACGCGGCCTCTTGGGGCCTCAATCCCGTCCCCGTCCCCGTCAGGATGAGGATCAAGTGGATCTTGCGAGAGAAAAAGAGAGTCAACTGTGGGCGTGGCCACGGTGGATTCAATCTTTCTCCTCTGAGGTTACCATCCGGCACTATAAATCGATCCACTGACAGGGGAAACAAGCATTGAAGAATCTACTTCTTTTTTAAGCTGAAAATGTCACGCGTGTCTCCTAATTCTAGCTCAATAACGACAAAGGTCCTAAACCTGTCTCTCCCTCTCCCTTCTTCTCGGAAGCCAATTAAAAAATAAAATAAAAAGGAAGCATAACCATCCGTTGGGAGGGTTTTTCAGAACACACTTGAGCGTCCGTGTCATCTATAAGCACCGGACAGCCATCAGGGTCTGGGCTCCACAACGTCGGCCCAATGACAAGGCAGACAGACTTGTTCTTGGGGACGGACTGACCCCGCATCCTCCTTGAGGGCTCAGGAGTCTTCGTCCTCCTGCTCTGCTGTCCCCAGTGGGTTGGGCAGGGCCACAAAATGAGCGGCCGGGCTTCCACACGTGACCTGCCGTCACAGCGGAGCCCCTAGAAGCATCTCTGGCCAGGAGTGTGTTCACCGGTGGGGGAACCCTCCCCAGAAGCCCCCCTGCTGGCTTTCTCCTTCTGTCTGATCCGCCGAAGGTCAAAGCCACTCCTAAACCAAAGAATGACCGTCGGAGACGCCGCGCCCACGGCGGGACCTCTCTCTTGGTTCTTACTCTCCTGTCTTCGTTCCAGGGGAAACACAGTTCTCTTTCCTCCTTCCCCCTTAAATTAGGGAGGTCACGGCAGGACACCGCGAAAGCCGACACGAGAAACTGTGGAGGTTGCTGACTCCGGTCAAGGTGTTTCTCTCCATCGACATTTTAAAGGGAATTTTTTTATGGTTGGAAGATGCAAATAGCGGCCATGAAGCCAACACATTGTGCTATAAAAAAAAACCCACAAAAACAACTGTGCTGGTGACATGTAAATTTCAAGAGTTTTGCTTGCATGGGTGTATCAGTCCTACAGGATAAGACCCTGCACTCTACAAATATTCCTTCCCGAATTCTTCCCCCCCCCAAAAAAATGAAGAATAGGAAATGCTTCCAAACGAATTTTATGAGGCCAGCATGACTGATTTTAGTACCAAAACCAGACAAGGACAACACACAAAAAAGAAAATGACAGGCCAGTACCCCTGATAAACATAGATGCAAAAATCCTCAACAATGTATTAGCCAACTGAATTCAACAATACATGAAAAGGATCATTCAACATGATCAAGTGGGATTTATTCCCCAGGGAGGCAAGGATGGTTCGACACCCACAAATCGACTGTTATCATTTATTGTGACGGAACTCAGAACAGTGGTAGTCTGGGGCTGTAGGGGTGGGGTAGGGGGCACAGGAAGTAACCAGGAATCAGCACGAGGGAACTTTCTGGAATGATAGGAAACAGTGTATATCTTTAAAGGAATGGGGGTTACACAGGTGTCGGCATCAGTCAAAACTCATTTCACTGTGCGCTTGGGATCGGCACTGCACCATATCGAAGTCATTGGTCAAATACCCTCCTCTGATATAATAAAAGGCTAATATGCAAATCGACCAAGTGACTAAATGACCAGTCGCTATGACATGCACTGACCACCAGGGGGCAGACGCTTAACGCAGGAGCTGCCCCCTGGTGGTCAGTGCACTCCCACAGGGGGAGCGCCGCTCAGCCAGAAGCCGGGATCACAGCCTTTTCCGCCTCCGCAGCAGCACTAAGGATGTCTGACTGATGGTGGGGAGTGGGCCTAAGCCGTCAGTCGGACATCCCCCGAGGGCTCTCGGACTACAA